TTTATAAGTTACAAACGTAACACCAAAATTAATCATTAAGATAATTACCAATAGTAACCAAATCAACCCAGTTAAAAATATTTTTAAAAAAAATTAAGTATGCAAACCCAAGTAACCTCAAGTAACCAAATAGATCCAGTTTGTGTAGTTTTAATAATTAAATATTCAAACCCAAGTAACCCTGTGTAACCAGAGTATCCAAATCGATCCAGCTAGAACAGCTTTAATGATCAAATGTGTAACTACAATAAACCCAAGTAACTAAATTGATCAAGTTCGTACAATTTTTGAATAATTAAATAAATGCAAACGCAAGTAATCCCAAAAAATCAAATCAACCCAGCTCGTGCTGTTTATTTATACGTAAATCCGCAGAACTTCTTCAAATAATTTAGGGTCAAAATTCGAGAATGAATGCTCACCTCTGAAATTTTCTCATTTTTTTAAAAAACTTTACAAGAAATAAAAAGCATCCACTGTAATTCAATTTTCACGAACGCTTTGTGTGATCTAGTGATAATTATGGTTTCTACTTACTATATAGTAGAGAGGATGTGGTTAGATTGCTCCTCAAAATGTCCACCTGCCCCTCCACAATTTTCAAAAATGTGAATTTCACGTGATTTTTGCATGATTTTCGCATGTTTTTCACCTTTTTTTAATTATTATTTTCTAACTGCTCCTCAAAAATTCCACTGATCCTTCACTGCTCCTCCACCGTAAATCCACCGGGATACGTGATAGGTACTTTTATATTAATACAAAGGTACTTTTATACATAGGTACTTTTATAATACACAACAAAATATTTCATCGAAATTTTGTCAATTTTCAAATTTTTCTATCTTGGGCTATATCTATCGTATCGACACGAAAGGTACCGCAAAATGTTTAGAAAATGGTGTTGATTTCAGCTAAACGAGGGATTTACGTACTATAAATGGTACCTTCAAATCGACCTACAGGGCGCAAAATCATCGTAAAGAGCTCTATTTCTTTTTTAAATTACTCGTTGAAAAGAGTACTTTGCGATGGTGTATGTTATATTTAAACAAAATATTACTGTGGTACTGGTACACGTTCAAACAATCTTTTTTTTTCAGTAATTTTACGTGTTGCGCTAAAATACTACTGGTAACTCGATATTGACTCGAACCTTATCATAGTATATATGGATTTAAAGAGGACAAGATTTCCAAGGAATCAAAAAAAAATCGTGTCGATACGATTGGTCTGGGAGTGGGCTACCTTCCCGTAGGAAACTATAAGTGGATGGTTGGAATAAGATGTTATCGATAGATTTTGACCCGCTGAGATAAGAACTAGTATTTACACGTGTAAATACAAGCGTTAATTTCTAATGTGGTCGATATGCACTTTGAAATTATAATATTTTCAGTTCATTCACGCATAAAATTAAATAAAAAGAGTACTTAGCATATTGGCAGAGAAATATGCATAACCGTCAGTGGTTCGTAAAATGTTCTTAATAACGAAAGGGATAAAATATTCCGAGACAGTTTCTGAACCGAAACCTCTGCACAAATTACAGCAATAAAGCCTCATAATTTTAAAAAAGCTTAAATGGCGGTATCACGACTAAAACTATTGCGAGTTGTGTGATGTGCACAGTGTGCACTGTATCTTAGGAAAAAGTATATTATCAATGATCAAGTTGAATTTTGACTCTCAAAAAGAGTCAAAGTTCCACTGCATGAATGGGTAATATCGATTAAAATGCAGGCAATATTATGGTATTACAAAGCTGCCAGTTAAACTCCCAATCGGTTAAAAACCCAAAAGTTTAAAGGATTTTGGAGAATCGTGATATTTTTTTGCAGTTTTCACTATTCAAAAGCACGTCGAGCGCAAATTATACTTTTTGAAAACTGTTGTCTGGAAGAAGTGCGAGGAGCGCAGTTCATACTTTTTAAACGTGTTTCAAGCGCAGATTACACTTTTTGAAAAAATGGTCACCGCAGAAAATGTGTAAGATGCGCAAGCTACCGGTTTTGGAAATGTGAAATGAGTGCTAAAACAAGCGTAGCCTATGCTTCATACATCTTTTCTGCTATATTGCGTTTTTACACTTTTTTTTCTGTGACGATTTTTCAAAAAGTGTAATTTGCCCTTGAAAAACTTTTGAATCGTGTAAATTGCACGAGTTTTCCACAGAAACTTTTACACTTTTGGGTTTTCATTGTAGATAAACTACAGCATGTAATCATTGCGATCCAGCTATTGAATTTTTTCTAATTTTTTATGATTCCACATTTGAAAATCAAAAAAAATGGCACAAGCTGAGTATATTCGGATACATACTATAGTTTATCTGTTGTCGAAAAATTTTGAAAGTGTCTGGTCACTTCGATTATTTATTCTTGCATGTTGACGAATAAAAAACCACGCGATCTTGAGCAATTTAGTTACTTGGGTTACTTAGGTTTGCATATTTAATTATTATAAAAGACAGGAGTTTGATCGATAGGGTTTCTTAGGTTTCTTACAGTTACTTAGGGTTACTTGGGATTGCATATTTAATTATTTGAAAATTGCTTGAGCTAGGTGGGGTTGACTGCTCATGGTTACATAATCAAAGATAAAAAAAATGCACTGACTGGGTCCTTAGGGGGGGCGATCGCCCCCATCGCCCCCCCCCTGGATCCGCCCCTGACGCGAACTCGGCATGCATTCGTCACTAGATTTATTTCAACCGTGAAGCGCTCGAGATGCAGCAACAGCAGCAGCGGCAGTACGTCTCGAGCTACCGGTATTACCGCAAAAGAAAGAGCACCAATGTTGCTATACCGGCTGCTTACTAAACTTTACGCAGTTAACGATTTTAAAAGTCTCGAAACACAGATTTTAATTAACAGCTGTGGCTGGGCTGTGCTATACTATACGGGGTGGACGGAGAAAAAAAATTTCCCTCTTCCACTACTGCCTACCTCTAGGTATATACACACACATACACTAGACGCAATAAATGTTTCCGCCAAAAGTCGCTGATGTATCGTGACAACAACGACGACGATTACCACGACGACGAGACTTGCTGCGCTCTAAAGTTTAGTGTTTGCTGCTAATGAGCATCGAAGCTCTGTCCTCTGTCTCTCTTTCTCTCTGTCTCGAAGCCACAGCCTCTCTGCTCGAACCGCGTATAGAAACAGCCGCGCAGTGCGTTGTAAGTGTACGAGATATATACCAAAAAGTGTGCGCGTTGCTGCTATATACTCTCGAGGCGCAGAGCGCCGATTCTCTATTGGGATGTAACGAGACCAGATCTCGTTATCGACGCGCACATAGCGCTACACTCGTGCAGCAGACATAACGTTCCCGGCCCCGAGACTGCGAGAGCGATCCGCAATTATCGCCCGCATGTTTGTGTCATTATTATTGTCGTATAATACGGTGTCCACCTGCCCCTTTTTGGCGCGCGACACGATCAGCTAGCGTACACATTTACAAACACAGGCGCGCGAGCGCAGTGGCAATTGTACTTTTTTTTTGTTCTCGTTGCCGCGTCCATCGAGTACACCCGGAAAATCGAGAAAAAACAACCGCGACTTTTTATGTACGCGAACGACCCGCGATGTCCTTTTATGCATATAATGGCCCTGCGATTAATTAAAATTTTATCTCATCGATGAGCCAATTTTTTTTTTTTGCTAACTATTCGAATAGTTTTTGTCGCGATCGAGCTCGACGCGTCTCGTGCGCGGACGTCGAGGTGGCGTTCGATCGTGCCAATTTTTTTCGACTCGCACAACGAGGTATACAATTAAACGTATACGTATACGATAGTTGCAGCGACATTTCTCCGCCGCGATCGGCGCACGGAGGCCACTTTTCATAATTCACTTGACGATTAATAAGATTCGCACATAATTACGCGGTCTCGCGCGTATTGGCCTCTCGTTCGCGGCCGGCAAGAACGAAGCGCAGCAAGAAAAAGTAAAAATGAAAAAAAAAAATAAAAATACAGCCGCGCTCTGCACATCGATCTTACGGGCACATATAGCCGGTCACTTTCCCGCGTTACAACTGCGCGCAGCTCTCTTGTATTCTCAGAGGGCATTTTTATGCTCGCGCACATATATATATATCGCGCTCGCGCGTGTGCGTGTATGCGTATATATAACGTTGTGCAGCCCGACGATCAGCCACAACGAACGCAGAGATCGGCCAGGAGAAAGAGTTGAATGTAATGAACTGCTCCCTCGAGGTGGACGCGGAATAGACGATATACGGGTGTAAATGGCATCTCAATGATCGTTAGGCTTTATCATTTATATTGTATGTAATAGATTCGAAACGGCGGTGAAAAAGAAAACTGCGCGCGAGCCGCGGCATTTATTTACTCGTTCGATCGAAATATTTCGCGCTCGCTCGCGCGCGTTTTTGTCATTAAAATACGAAAAAGGGAACAAAAAATGTCCCGTATAACCATTGGGAAAATTACAAATTGCACCTGCCGCGCGCGCGCACCACCGATATAATATATTAACCATATAATACACGTGCGAAATGAACTATAAAATCAATCTCGCTCGCGAGCCCGAAGTTGACCTCGCACGTTGCACATAGCAGCAACACTTATAAACCCGGAGTGTACGAGTTATACAGCACGTGCAGGATCTATAAACCATGCGGAATGAAAATAGTTTTTTTTTTGTACCCTCGATTCGTGTGTGTTGCACCTTGCTCGCGAGAGAGAGAGAGAGAGAGAGAGAGAGTGAGAAGCGCGAGGATGATCTTTAAATTACCACTGCGATGAAACGTTATACGCTCGAGAACTTTACTCGCATTATGTATAATAATACGGGTACCATAAATATAGTCACCCTCTGGCGCACACAAAATAAAGAGTTGTCACACCCGACCACTATATATAATATAACTAAAGATTTTCTCCTGAAAATAATTCTTGCCTATTTCAAATAGACGCTACATAAAAACTGATCAATAATCGACTTTTGTCTTCTTTTTCTGTTTTACAGTCTCGCCCACTCTGCCACTAGCCGACATAGTCAGAGAGCGGGAGCAGCACGAGCGCGAGCGAACGCGCAGACACGCGGACAGCAGGTCGCCGGCGGGCGACGCGGTGGCTACGACGACCACGACGACGACGACGGCTGCGGCGGCGGCGCCCCATCGTTCGAGCATACCTCCGCCTGCGTCTCATCACCACCATCGTCATCATCATCCGCATCCGCATCCGCCGCCACCAGCGGCTCCTCAACACCATCATCACCATCAGGCGACGCGAGCCCGAGCGGAGCGAGAGCGTCAGCGAGAGCGCGAAAGGGAGCGCGAGCGTCAGCAGCAGAGCGTCTGCTCTATCGAGGCCGATCCGGTTTTCGTCTCGTCGTCCGCGGCTTTTTTGGCCTTGCAGAAAATCAAAGAGGCTTCGCTGTGAGTACATGATAATATTGCCCGATATGGCGAAATTAATTTATCCTTTCCTCGCGATGAACATGTCGAGCACAAGAGCAAAAGAAATAATGATAATGCAAACGGTATAACCCCGCGTGTATACGTTTTGCGTATAAATACTCGAATGACGAATAACTCATCTTTGCGGAGTAGCTACGTACGCGTTTCGGTGTTTGTGTCTACTGTAGTTTCCGCAAAATCATAAATAACAATATCAACGCACCCGTATGCGCGTTCACCGAGTGTATCTCACGTGCTCGCGATGCATAAAGCTTAGACAGACAGACACACACGTGCGCACATCCATAATATCGTCCGTGCACGCTGATCGCGCGGCCGGCCCTAAAAGGGGGGTGAAAAATGCAAAGTTAAACAATAGGCACGAAAACAAGACCACATCAGCGCGTCCATCATAGAGTACGAGGTTCTCTCTCTCTAGTAGAGGTATAGTGCGCGCAACGCGAACAAGCGCGCACACACGCGGCTAAAGTCTGCAGTCCTGAAGAGGCTCTATGCGGTATATATATGTGCATGTGTATGTGTATATAAAGGCCGTATATAGCAGTATAGTAGGTACGTCGTACAGAGCCCTAGCCGCGCGCGCGGATAAATTCCGAATGCGCGCATGTCAGCGCATGCCCCCCGTCGCTAGGACAAATGCGCGCGAGAGAGCACACAAGCTCTACTCTCCTCTCTCTCTCTCTCTCTCGTGCGCAGGTAGGCACACACGAGGCGTATCTCTCCGGATCGGCGGCAGAAAAGCAAGACAGAAAAAGAGAGAGAGAGAGAGAGAGGACTGATTCTCCGTAGCAGGTACACACAGACACACGTACGTGTATACATGCGCGCTAGAGAGAGATAGACACACCGACCAGCGAGTGCGGGGGTGGATGATTAAAGTTATGGCTCGAGCTGTGAATATTCGCTTTGTGTTACTGCAGCAGAGAGAGAGAGTGAGAATTTTTCGTTTATATATTATATTCCTTGGAAAATCGACTCGCGTATAATATGTTTTTTCAGACGCTTACACGCGTCGAAATTTGTTGATAACACCTCCCTTCTCGTCCTCCTCCTTCTCCTCCTCGTACTACCATTGCTAATTTTTACTTTATTGATTTTCGTTTCTTTTCTTCTTCTCCTCAGCGGTGTCTACCACAACAAACGACCGGCGCTGGCACCCGGCCTCGGGCTGAGCAGTCGAGGCAACAGCGTACCACCGGTCGGCCAGCAGCATCAAATTGTTAGCGCGGCTTCGGTGGCCACAAACAACAATAGCATCAACAATAACAATAACAATATCAGCAACAATAACAATAACAACACGAGTAACAACAACAACAATAACAACAACGGCACGAGCATCAGCAGCAGCATCGACGGCGAGTGCGGCGATGCCCTGAAGCGGCGCAAAGTCCACAGGTGCGACGTGGCCGGCTGCGACAAGGTCTACACGAAAAGTTCACATCTCAAGGCGCACAAGAGGACTCATACGGGTAAGTCAAGTGCATCGTGCACGATGCGTAGTCGCGCTCTCGGCGCGAGAAAAAGACGTACAACGTGCAGCGGCCCGGCGTATAATACGACGACAAATTACCTTTTGCCTTAATCAGGAGTCACGCTCGCGAACGCTGTACGTATGACCCAGCGCGCAGTCGTGGCATTTTCTCGCTGTACAAGTTTTCGCATTGTTCGCGCGCGCATAAGCGCGTAATGGCGAGGATGGCCCTCACCCCGATATCGTCGTCGTCGTCGTCCACGGCGGGCAAATTTATGTCGCGCGCTCGCGCTCACTGCTCGCTGCTGCAGCAGTGCAGAGACGTAGTATTTCGCTCTCTCGACTCGAGAGCGTGAAAAATGCATTCGTTGTATATATCGTCATTATGATGATTATTGCGCTGCGCAATTGGAAGTCGCATGACCGCGTGAAATTGGGCCCGAGCGCCTTTTAAGGTCTGCCATTACCGCCCGTGCGAATAATGGCTTGTTAAACAGCGTTTCTGCCGTTGCTGCTGCTAGTCGCGACGTTGTATTATGCTTCTTTTTTTTCCTTCTCTTTTTCGCTTTCTCTCGCATTTGTCTTGGAGAAAAAAAAGGCAATATGAGATAAGCCGACGTGCGCGTTACACTATGCGTGCAACAACATATTGTGCGCGAGCTTGCGCTGCTATAGTGGCGTGTCTAAACGTCGCGTACGACAATTTTTCCGCAGACATAATCTTGCCTATAATACGCGGCTGCCAAGAGCAATTAGCATAGAACATTTTTCGATTTCATCCGCGTTCGCATGGTGACAAGCTCGTACCGCGCGAACCAACAACTCATTTTTCTTCTGCTTTCGCTAGCTCAACTTAACCCGTATATGTATGTGCGTGCGTGCGTGTGTGTATATTATATGGATGTCCTCGTGGGCCGAGGAAAGAAAAAATTATTATCATCCCTGTGGGAATCAAAAGTTGCAATTTTCTCGATTCATATATGTATAACGCGCACCGATCAGCGTGAGTATACACCTGTGCGCACTCGTCCGCGCTTATATAGCTGCACGCGCGCATATACATACGCGGTCCCGAGATAGCATCGCGCGCGTCTTTCTTGCCCCGCGTGCGCGTGTACGGCGCGCGGCATCTTTATTATTCAGGATTTGAAATATTAATACTCGTGCGTGCGCATGCGAGAGTAAGAAAGAGGAAAAAAAAACAAGATCTGCGACGCGTGTTATGGTAAATCATTCATGACTTGACAAAAGCCTAAACCCCCTCAAGAGTAAATCCTCTGCGAAATCATCAATCCTTTTGCGCGATATTTATGCAGCGAGTATATATTTTCCAGCTGCCTGGCCAATTGACACGGTTATAATTTAGAGATTAACCCTCTGCGTGGATACACACACGTATGTATATAGCTGCCGGGCGCGCATTTATACATATATGTGTGTGTATAAGAGGCACAAATGCACTCGTGCAAGTGGCCGCGCGTAAAACCGGTTGTCCGGTGAAAATTCAATTTCGTTATATTCTCGCGCTGAATGTGTACTACGATCGTGTGTGTACAAACACTGCTCCGCGGCCCGCGCGCATGTATTTTTCCAAATAAGATAATCTGCTGTGGGGCACGTTTACATATTATGTCCCGCACATATACCTATGAGAATTTAAGGGACTTTTACGGTATTTTCACGCCGATTCTTTGATTGGCGCGTGGGAACGCAGAGAGCCGCTTTTGAAGCTGGTTAATTTTTCCAACGAATTGGATATGTTTGTCACGTGCCGAACAGCCTAGCTGCTCCGCACAGTGCATGCACTTTACGCGCGCGTATTATATTATGCATGCGTATACACCAGCGATTCACGTGGCTTCTCCATAGCGGTTCATCCTCGATATAAATAATTATCCAAAAATTTTTCAAACTCGGCGCACCGCGAGCGAGCTCGTATGTATTATTAAACTCCGTAACAAATGAAATGTAAACACGTTATTATCGAATCAAAGCAATGAGCCACGAGTAATTAACGCTTCTGCCGTGTGTACATGTGTACGCGCGAGGTGTGTATAAATAAGAAAAACGATATAACGCGAAACGTCAGTCGGAATAATTTCTCAGTCACGTGCATTGCCCGCGCGCGGCGCTTCGATTAAAAGGCATTTATCTATCCTTTTAATATTTCACGCTGCAGAGCTCTCTTGGACGCGAGCTCGCGCTCTCCACTCTTGTGGCAGTCCTATAAATTCACAGGTATATCAAGTGTTAGCGTCGTGACCTCGCGCGCGAGCGAGAGGAAGAAAAAAATCAACGCTATACTCACCCGCGCGTGCGAAGAGCGACTGCGCGCGCGAGAAGAGATTCCGCGGTAATCGTTCAAGGTCGTTGCGTTATACACGTATTATACACATCCCTTTGGGACGTATATAACGCGCACAAAGGAATTTATAAAGCTTAGCCGCGCGCCAGCGCACGTCTCAGCCCGTGTGTATAATCAATTTATATTTCGCACCGCGAGCGCTGTAATCGTAACTCGGCGCTTTTAATTCTAACTCGTGTGTGCTTACTTAGCGAGCCGAGCCTATGTAGCGTCCGTCCGTATACGTCCGATTGAATAGATAATAGGTTTAAGATTTAATAATTAACAACGGTTTCCTGCTTGCGGACGTTATTTATTGTCTGCGTCCAATTTTTTCTCTTTGCTCTTGGCTCGCAGTACGTATTCCGGATCGTTCCACTCGACGACGTTGCCGCTGCCAAAAATCAAGTAGAACGCGTTGGTGCCGATCAATAGGCCGAATATGATCCAGAACACGTTTCTCCACTGGCTGAGCGTCTGCTGAGGCGTCAGCACGCCCACCACGTAGGGCGTCAGGATTCCCGTGCACGCGGCGGCTCCGTTGCTCACGGCCATCACAGTGCCGGCGTAATTCGGACTCAGGTCCAGGGCGTTGACCTTCAGGCTCGGAATTCCGCTGCCCAGCAGCGTGACCATCAGCGTGAACATGATCACCGCGGCGACTCTGTCGCACCTCGTGTAGGCCGCGCCGACGATGAACAGGCCCGGCCCGAGCGCCGCCACGGTCGTGCCGAGCTTCCTCGTCGCGGTGATCGAGAGGACGCGCGAACCGATCAGCTTGTCGGCAGCGCACGACATTATCAGGCTGCACAGCCACATGCCGACGTAGGGCAGCGAGCTGAGGTAGCCGTTGTCCTCCACGTCGAAGTGCAGCACGCTGCTCATGTACTTGGGCAGACCCATGGACACCGTGTAGAAGCCCCACTCGTGGCCGACCGTCACGGCGATGAGCGCCCACATGGGCATCGAGGTGAGAAAGTGCCTCCAGGGCAGGGGTGGCGGCCGTTCGTGCACGTGCTCGCTCAGCTCCGCGTACAGATACACGGCCTCCTCGTCCGAGATGTAGGGGTGCTGGCGCGGCGAGTCGTAGCAGCAGCCGATCCAAAAGAGCCACCAGGCGACGCTGCAGCCACCGAAGAAGTAAAACACCACGGGCCAGTCGGCGTGCTTGAGCAGCAGACCGGCGACAGTCGTGGCGAACACGGTACCGAGGGGTGCCCCGGCGTAGACGAACGAGCCGGTCTTCGATCGCTCGCTCAGCGGCGTCCAGCGCGCCAGCATGATGTTGAGCGCCGGGAAGGTGACACCCTCGCACAGACCCATGAGGATTCGGACGATTATCAGGGCCGTGGAGCTGCCCCATTGGACGGCTACGGGGATGCCGACCGTGAGGACGCCCGTCACGAGGATACCTAGGCCCGTCACGTGCTTGGCTCCCCACTTCTCGGCCAGCAGAGCTCCGGGCAGCTGCGTTACGACGTAACCCCAGTAAAACGAGGACAGAATGATACCCTGCGGAACATTTTCCGATTTTATCGTACTCGCGATTACAATGCAAACAAAACTTGGCATTGAACATGCAACTTATAAATGTACCTGCGTGTATTCGTCCCAATCGTAAGTAGCGGAAGTCGAGACATTTTTCTTGACTGCAGATTCGTCGATTGGGCACAGATCGTCCGAACCGACATCGTTCTGCGCGATCGGTTTGGCTATTTCGGTTATGGCGATGGATAGACTGGCTCGCATACCGTAGGCGATGACAATGGCCAAAAAGCTCATAAAAGCAAATATCCATCGTTGACGAATTGGCTTACCTGAAAATAAATCATCGTGAAATGAACAATGGCTCTTAATTTATATTTATGAATTAACTTACAGCAAATTTTGAGAGTGGAAGATGTCATTTTATTCGACTAGAATGATGTATAATTTACAGAAATACGATACACATATCCTCCGTGATTATTTAACGCAGAGGCAAAACTCAATTTACGAGCAGACAACTAGTTCACACTACTGCATGCAGCACGTTTGAAGATTGTTACATCAGTTAATGATTATCCGTAGATAATATCGATATCGATCCGCATTTCTTTCAACAATTATCACGATATCCGTAGTTCAGAGCTGATAACCCGATCGATCGCAAATATAAGAAAAGCCACGAGCGGCAAATTGTTTTTTTTTAATCTTCTTTTTAAATCGGAACATCGAACTCGATCTAATTTATCGAACGCTATATTTATGCAATGCAACGCGCGCAACCTTCGAAAATAAATCGGGTAAATTTCAACCGTAAAATGTCATCAAGCGCTTTAAATATATAAAATAAATCTGCGCAATCAGTCGGAATCTCGGCTATCCTTGGCGCGCGCGCGCGTATATACGTATACAAAACCGCCGACCGGGTAATTGCGCAATAAACAAAAATCCCGAGCCCGATTGATATCCATCAATCCGCGACTTGCTGCGCGAAACTCTCGCCCCTGCCCTTTTTCCCGTCAATCCTCCTCCCGCCGCGAGAGCGATATATGTGTATGCATGCGCGCGTATGTGTGTATGCAGTTTGTGGCCGTCGCAAGTTGTCGGTAATCGTATTGTCTCCTTGCAGTGTGTATGTATATGCAGCAAGATCGATGTATCTGCAGATAAGCTAAATCGCGGCCCAACGAACAAGCGAGCGGCTTCTCTTTCTGTTGGAGGCTTTTTTCTTTTAATTATAACTTCGCTTAAAGGTGTATATGAATCCTAACTTGAATAATCTGAAAATAAGAATTTGACCATTATAAAAATTAACATCAGTTTTCATGAACTTTAAATACAATAAAACTGTTTCAAACATCAACCGCTAGATGGCGAGTACCATTGTATGTAATTCTGCAAATGGCAAAGTAAACATAATTCTTTAAGTCAAATCATGATTTGTAAAAACTTAGCCACACCACTGCACATGGGAATTAAGAAAATTAAAAATTACTTTATAAAGTTTATCCCCATCTTAATTTGCATGAATTGTATATAGTCAAAAAATTATAATTAAAAAACGTGAAACGTTAAATGATACAAAATTATTGAAAAAAACGTTACACTTGTGGCTAGGATAAGTCCAGTCTGATTGCCAAGAGGCGTTACAAAAGTCTTTAGATGAGCATGAAATAAAATTTCAGCTTACTTTGCTTGAATGTATGCGTGAGCTTAAAAATCAAAAGCATGCATCAAAGGATATGCATAAATCATTCGGACTTTCTTCATTACGCACTTCTGTTATTTGATCGTAAATAAATCGTTCGGAGCGATTGATCGACAAGAGACGATTGTTTTTATTTTCTCTCTCGAGCCACCACCTCCTTTTTCGAGCCAAACTATTCGAGGATTCCACGCGGTTTTCTTGACCGCTGGAATTTTGAGCTTTTGAATGAACGAAAACGAAGAGGGAAAAAACGATTTTAAAAATGTTTACGTTCCTCTCGCCTTCGTTAATGACATCTCGAAAGTCGAGAAAATTGCGTCGATCGGAGAAACGATGTAGGTGAAAAAAAATCTGAGGAAATTTAGAAGTAAAACCTGGCAATAATTCTCAGCACGACCAATAGCGTTACACTTTTGTATTTATATTCAGCTGCAGTACATATATAGGAGTCTCGTACAATAGAAGCGAGTTCGAGGAAGATCGAGAGCGAACCCTGTGAGAAAACTTGCACGAGCAAGCGAGAGAGAAGCGGTAGTGTGGCGAGAGTCATCTCGGCTCCGCGAGAGCTCTGTAAGTTCCGATAGATTCAAAGCTTTGCGAGCGACAGCTGTCCGTACGTCCTTCCCAGCGCGATAAAACCTTTCCCTCACTTGTTTCTTCTCTCCTATCAATCGACTATCTAGCTCTCTCTCTCTCCCTTTCTCTCTCTTTCGCTCTCGCTCAGCCGAAGCCACGCTAGAACCTAACGAAGCTGTATACGTGTATGTGAGTGTGCACACGTGAGAGTGAGTTTCCAGAGGGTCACAATGCCGTCGTGTAATATAGAGGGCGCACAAGCTTCACACCCAATTATTGGCGCCCGATGATATCGACGAATGAGTGAAGAGCCAGCTCGATCGATGGCCATTCGTCGTGTGTGACCGATCGACACTGACCGTGCGAGTTTCTTCTTTCTATACTGCACATACACGTATACACGCTCACAGATATATCCGCCCATGGCCGGTTGCGCGCACAAGCGGATCACTTTGTTTCCACGCTGCATTATCTCCTTTTCCCGCGCTCGTGCCGTTTGTTTATATTTTTTTATACATTTCTACTTGTGAGCTATATACTTATATACGTATTGGCTGACGATTCGAAACCGAATGTCGTTTTCCTTGGACTGTCTCTCGAGCTTTCCTGCGGTAGCCGTTTTACCGATTCGATGTGTATATAAACTTGTATTATATATATAAACGTTCCACTGATTGATGTGTACTCTTAATTGATCGTCGATGACCGCTGATAAGGGACCCTGCAGCAGGCGGATACGGACTGTGGAATTTTTTTCTCTCTCACGAAAGATTCCTTCGGAATTCTCCGGGATTGTAAGCCGAGATTTCTCACCGAAATTCGATCGATTTAAGATTCGTCTAAAATCCAATGATTTTTTTTACTTTTAATACCTTTATTAAAAGACTTTATATTGGATTTGTTGTACGTGTATAATATACACTGTATATTACAATGTATATGTTTGCGTGTGAGCAGCACCAAAAAACAATCACAAAAACTTGGTACATTTCTAGTATGTGTGATTTATACATCTATCTAGTAACTTTGATTTATACATCTATTTTAACTTTGCCACTTGCGGATCTACAAATGAAGATACTCGCCATCTAGTGGTAAAAAATGGCGTGGTCAAGAGTAGCGATTTTCTCATAAATACGACAACTTATTCCGGGAGTAACTTTACCGAAACCAATTGAAACTTTTCTCATACTTAATTTTTGAGATATCAAGTTCACGAAGAAAAATTTAACAATGTTTAAAATCGTTGAAAGAATACGAGTAAATTTAAGCCTTAAATTTTTCTGATTATTGTACATTTGCTCGTGTACATTATTTCATTCTTGTAAACGGTGTGTTGCGCTTGCACGTTTCAATGCACGTCGATGGCAATCGATCATGAACTTATACCCGGCTGATAGAGTATAAATCAGCTGTTACCTACATTTACACACACATAGATAGATACTCACGTCGATCTCACGCCGAATCTCATCATCGGCTTTACTCGTGTTTTTATATCGATCGGTGGAAGGACTTCGTGCCTCGCGCCGCTTCATATGATACATCCACGTACGTATGTGTATATCAGCACACCAGTGCAGAGCCCAGAGCATTAAAAATTGCTGATTGCGAGGACGATATTATATAATATTTGTATTATATGCGGCAGAGACACGCGCGCGGGGGTCGTGCGCTCGCGGGGACTCGAGTCATCTTAGAATTCAGAGATTGATACCGACGCGACTCGGGAATCGGGAACAAATGCACTGCGATGCGGGAACTTCAGAGCTATCATGGCAAAAGATGGGCGGCATAAAAGTGTAAGAGGATAAGATCGTGAGTGACGGATATGCTTGTTTCGATTCGCGATTTGTCATTACATGTGACCACATACAAGCGTGGCGTGGCGAGCGATCGTGCGCGCGCCTTTTATCCCCGTGCACTATCCACGCGGGGCGCAAAAAGAGCTTTCGGGAGAGAAACAAATGTATATCGTAGCGTACATTATCGTGCATACGTCATGCATATACAGAAATATATATATTTATTATATGCAGCTACAGATGCAACGAAGCGTATCGAGATTTTAAAATATCCACTTTGACGTCTGTTCGCAGGAGAAAAGCCATATCAATGCACATGGGAGGGCTGCACGTGGAAATTCGCACGCTCGGACGAGTTGACGCGACACTATCGCAAGCACACCGGCCAAAAGCCCTTCAAGTGTCACCTGTGCCAGCGCTCGTTTTCGCGCAGCGATCATCTCTCTCTGCACATGAAGAGACATTAGAATTGTGTGTTTGTGTGTGTGTGTGTCCGTCCCCCTGTGGACACTGGACCGCGACACGGATGTAGCGACAATAACGAGTAACATATATAATGTGTGACGATGAGCGTCGCCGCTGCCGCCGCTTTATCGGCGTCTCGACGCAAAGTATAAATAATATAAATATATAAATATACAAACATATATATTATATTGCTATATTATACATTCGGGACCTGAAGTTATAAAAAAAAAAATGAAAAACGATGATTAGCGGAGACCGCATGTTTTTGTTTTTTCATGATTTATGTAAAATATTTGGTTGCGGGCAATGCTATGAGCAGTCAAAACTAGGACGAATTTCCATTTTTAATTGATTGATTTGAAAAAATGTAAAAATACAAATTTATGAAGCGCTTCATGACAAGTGTCCTAAACTTTTTTTACATCGATACTTCGTGGGATACTTACTGTAAATCTTTTCGTATCAAATCTTCGTACGCAAAAGCTCTTACATTTCATTCGGAAAATCATTTTTGTTTCTTTAAGAAAAGTGTAGATAGATCAATAAAAAAATGACAAAATTAGCGATTCGAATAGGAAGTAAGATCATGGATATCGAAACTTTCTCACTAATCAGCTTTTGCAAAAATGAACGTGACTGTGAAAAATATTCGATAGAAGTATAAAATAATGAGATATTGATTAAACAATGATCACTTCAACGAACGTGATAAAGAAAAAAAAATGCCATAGGTGAATAGTAATTAGGCATTAGAATAGCTATGGAAAAAAATTGACACGTAAAAAACATTCTCCATTCTGTGATTAGAAAATTTTGGCCTAATAAACGAATTTTTTATTTTATACTTGACGTATACGAGTTTAAAAATTATGATTTTTTGGATTTATCGAGGTGCAAGATGTATTCGTCGAGGAAAGAACCGAATTTTCTTTCCGGTATAATAAGAAAATGAGAAAGCAAAGCGCTGCAGGTTCAGCTGGTAAATGAAACGAATATAAAAAGCGTTACTATCGCTATTATGCTCTTTATTCATAATTAGTCTTAAATGTACACGTAATTCCTGTTTTTTAGCCAATTTTTTTGTTGAAAAATTCAAATTCCTAATTTTAATAACGTCACGATGTAAAAGGCCAGCTCAACTAGTCTAGAGCAAATATACATCTTTTTTCACATGACAATTTAAAACAGACGTATTCAATGCAAAAAAAGCATCAAGCCAGTAAAAGCATAGAATTTTATCGTGCACGTTTTTTAATACCTTTGACGAGTTACATTTAATTAAAAGTTGGGATATAAGGAATATATATTTATTGTAGGTAAAAAATATTAAAAAATGTGCATACATATAAGATATTATAATTTATGAATAATAAATTACGAAATAAACAAAACTCCGATGATTCGGAGCTTGGGACTTAGCATGCTCAGTTAAACAATGTAGAAAAAAATACTATCACTTTTATTGAGAGTGTTTTATATATTACGTATACAGTAACCTAGCTTTAAGTAAATCGATAATTATAAATCGGTAGAATGTATAAAAAAAAATATAGAGGGCAAATCGTTTGCGACGTTTTAATGTGATGCACAAAAGAATTTCGCGTTTAAGAGAAGGACAATCAGGAGGTCAACTCGATGATGCGAATAATTATAATCATTTATTTTTATATCATTAACGAGAAAATAAAAATTATATTATAATTTTTCTCTATTACCACTGTAATTCGCCAGAATTTCTAACTAACTATAACTATTTTGCTTCTACAATTTGTTATTACAGATAACTTTAATTGTGTAACAATACGATATTTTAGTTGACAGTTTAAAAGCACAAATATTTTAATGAAACAGTATTACTTATATACGCTGAGTTGAATAGCTGCTCATCATCACTAACTACTCTAACGAATTCCAATTTAAATTTTCTTGCCATTGATAAATTACTCATCATAATACTAAAAATATCTAAATATTATTTTCAAATATAGTAAATTTAAAAATTAAATGAAGCAAAAGAGTGATAAAGAAATACTGTATTTAAATGCATTATTAGTAGTTTTTTTATTATAGTGCCTTCAGATCAAACGGTGCAATAGCTTATTTTAAGAGTAAGACAGGGGATTGTGCCTTGATATGAAAATTTAAAACTTTAATTCAGAACCATCATGTAAATTGGAATATAACAATTTTATCCAAAATAAATTTGTGTGCTTGCATGAATCAGAGAAAACAATTTTTTTTAATGAATTACAACTGGAAGCGCTTATTCAACATTATTATTACAACATTATTAATGAAATTCAATAATTTTCTGTTTAAAAATTATCAAATTTATGCCAGTTTACATATTTGCGAAGTGTAATTTTTTTGTGCTTTTTCTGGTATAATAAAAATTTCATACAAAGAAATCTATATATATATCGCGTCTCCGTGCCTTGTATTAAAAGAAGCAACATTCGATAAGATTTTATGCTATACAAATAAATTTTTCGTTAAGTCAATTGAAATAGTACTGTTGGTACGTTACAACTAATGTTCAATTAATGTTTAAACCTCTTATTATACAATGCCAAAATTTTTTTTGAAGTTAGTAAGTGTTGTGCCAAAAAAAAAGTTTTACTAACACATACGTTGAATTTCATGAAATTGGCCAATCTCTACGTATGATATTATCCACTGTAAAGTTGTTAAATATTAAAAATTGTCAAATCGCAATAAAATGTTAATATATTAATACCATGTTCTACAGATAGTACTATATAAATATTTCATCGCACAAATAAAATAGCTTTTTAAAAAATAGTAAGTTACTCACGCCGTTTTAATTGAATAATCTAACTATTATATTGAAGAGAATGAATAATGTTTTTCTCGTTGTTTAAATTTCGGAAAAGATAAATAATATTTATGATCTTTTTTTTTTAAATTTCCAGTTTATTTTTATTGTATCTTTTAGAAAAAAAATTACTCAAAGTGACCTATCAATCTCTTTAATATTCACATTGAGCAAATCGTCTGGGTAGTTATACAGCTAATACTTGCTTGCATTGATACATTTATAAGATAAATTAATTTACCTATGAATAAACTGCTATAGTAATAATCCAACAATGTATATAACTTTTACAATCTTAAATGATAATCAATGGGGGCCAGTAATTCTCTTGGATCTCGTGCAGGATTTGCGGGGTACGTGGACAGTTCTAAAAGTGTTTTGGTCACTTGAAGAGAAAAAAACATTTTTATATGAATAGAATATTAATTTAAAATAATTTTATTTTCTAATGAAAAATAAAAAGTTCCAGATATATTGATGGTATACTGTGGTCAGTTTTAATTAGAACTTCCACGACTCGTCAACTATTAAGCATTAAGAAAGATATATATTGTAAATTTATATATGTTATACATAAATGTGTAGAAGAAAATTTTTTTTATCAAAACTTAAAGTACAGTAATAGTAAAGGCATTATCCCGCTAGAATCATTATATTTTTGTTTTATTTACATATCATATGCGTAAGAGCTAAGTATATTCGCAAACGTTCCCAAGCTACAAAATACAACGAAAAGGTTGCAATTTTTATTTTAATAGCAATTAGCTCCATCAGGTCTATTATCAGGCGTAAAATACTGTAAATATGAATGAAATTTGCTAGATAGCTTCGCAAGAAAACCTAGTAGAATTTTTGAAATTCTGCACATTGAATAAACGTTTCTAAACGACGAGAAGTTTACGAAAAATAACGTTTTCACTATTAAAATTATATAATAGAATTTTATGAACTAAAATTTACTGTTTTAAATTTGGTTTTGCCACGAGAAAAATAGTTGTGCATAGAGAGCCAGTGTCGACAAATCATTTTGTTTATATAATTAATATATATATAGCTCTGAATAAGCATGTTGACAACGCAAAACGTTTCAAATAAAACCAATATCTTGAGCAGATTTGAAATGACTAGAGTAATGAATATATTAACATGTAAACTTATCTCTTAATTGAAAAAATCGATTATATCTATACGTTGTATAATAATTTGTATTTTATATCTATATATACATTATATCGGGCATCTAGAAAAATATTCTATGGACGCATGTTTACTACGACTATTAAAAGTAATATGGCTTCAATTTTATTGCGAAGATAAAATATATATGATGGTTGAATATTTTAGGTGATATTATCTATACTTCTATGATTGGTACTATTATGTTTACAATTGTCATATTATTAATGTATCCGGCAGGGTTATGATAATTAAATTCTTATATAAAGACAAATATATATTATAATTATTTTATTTCTATCCTATGTTTATTTATCTAATCAAATTATGTAAGAAAAAATGCTGTATTTATAAAATTGGTGACTTTAGATTTTTTTTAACTTCTCAATCAATTACAATTGAACCTTCTATTTAATCTATTGAAATCATTCATATGTCTCAAATGTCTAAAATCATAACTGATTAATTATGATTAATAATCTTATTTTAATTTTTTTGTAGCGCTAAGACTACAAAACCTGGTGAACTTATAACTATCACTTACTTTTTACTACTTTTATCCTTTTTTTGCGATATTGATTTTTGTGACGATGAGCTTTTTTTACTTGAAGAAATTGAAGAGGAAGTTGACATCGAATCAGATATAGATTTGTGGACGAGGGAAAATGGAAGAAGAACCGAATGAGATGAGATGCGGCTAGTTTTTAATTTACTATTTTTTCCGTCATTTCCATCAATTATTGGTTGATTGACTATTTTCTGTGATGACGATAACGAGGAAAGAGTTGATGGAAGTTTACCTGTTGACCCAACGGTCCATATTTGTTCTCCTCTTGGAACATCCGTTATAGGATTAGATCTAGTTTCATACGTTGTAAAGTACGAATCAGGTCCTGTATACAACGTTTTTGATTCAGGTCTCTGACTAACGATTTCATACTGAATCGGAGAAGTATTCAAGTCCCGTGTAAAGTATATACCATCATTTAATAAAGTACTTGGAGAATCTTGTGTTTCTTCAATTACAATTTCAAATTGGTCAGGCTTTTCAAGTGTTTGATACTGTTGGCTTTTTGTAACTTGATTATTGTTTGTAAGTGAATGTATGGGTTTGCTGAGCGAAGATTCAGACTTATCTTTTGATAAAACATGAACTAACAATGATGATTTAGGTCTATCATAAGAATTTTGATTTAAAGTGTTCATGCTACCAGAAGAATCATAACCTGAACTACGTAATACATCAATATTAATTGGTATTTCTACGAAATCAGCTGAATTTTTACGTGGATTATCATTCATAATAGATTCACTAAGCTTTTTAATGAGAATCGAAGAAGTTTGTGGTGAATTTTCATTAACTAATTTTATACTTGGCATTGGTCCGTAAGATTGTGGTACAGTTTGATGTATTGTTTTTTGAGTTAATATGCTAGATGAAGAAGATAACTTTCCTGTATGAATAATACTAGATTGTGATGGTCCTGAGTTAGGTTTGTTATTGTATAAAAATTTTATATCTTGAGATGAAATATTTGGCTCGATAAGATGCCTTTGTGTTTGATCATCTTCGACCTCTTGCTCTGGAAAATAAGGTTCCATATACATCGGTGTTTCTTCAGCATTTCTCGAAATTTTAAGATCATTATCATATACTTCAGGATTAAAAGAATGTATCGTTTTTGGTTTCAAGGGATCAACTGCATAATTAGAAACTTCGATGGGATTAACAAAATGGAATTCATATTCAAGCGGATAATCGCTCTGTGTTGGTACTGTCAACATATCAGGTGACTTATCAATGCTCGTTGGTACTTGTATACTATCCTCTGGGGTGTATTCCATATGGTTAACACTAGAGATATCGCTCTTCATATCCGGCGAATGAATGAAAACTTGTTTTTGTGGTAAATTTAATCCGTTGAAAATTGGTTTACTATTAAGACTTTCAGATTTAGAAAGAACTTGGTGTCTAAGTTCTATGGGTTGACTAAAATGCGATTGGTGTTGATGGGAAAGATAAGGTTTGGATGAAACTTGATACAAATTATGTTTCGGCTTAAACGGAACATTTCCATTGTATGAAGCATAATTTAAACCAACTCTCGGAATATCGTCTACATTCTCTAAAGAATAAGTATAACGTTGGCTAAGTAAAACTGGATCTTCTGGTGAGCCAGGCTCTTCAAGTAACGTTTCTGGACTCGCTGGCTGTGTTGGGACCAAATGAGGATACTGCATACGTTCTGTACTGAAAGGTGTTGGTTCTTCGTCCCTCAGGATATATTCTATATTGCTTGGTACATCGCTTTCGACCTCGGGTGAATAAACTACATATTCCGGTGAGCCAGGCTCTTCATGTGACGTTTCTGGACTCGCCGGCTCAAGAATATATTGGTCTGGTTCTGTGGGCTCTGTATCGTATGTTTTGGGTTCATGATGGTAACCCGGCTGTGTTGGGACCTCATGATATTGTGGCATTGGTTCCTTATAAACAGGTGTTGGTTCTTCTTTCCTCGGAATATATTTTACATCGCTTGGTACATCGCTTCCAATCTCCGGTGAATAAACAACATATTCCGGTGAGCCAGGCTCTTCATATCGAGTTTCTTGACTCGCTGGCTCAACGATATATTGGTCTGGTACCGTAGGCTCCATAGTGTAAGTTTTAGGAACATTATGGTATTCCAGCTTTGTTGGGACCTCATGATATTGTGGTATTGGTTCCTCATGAACAGGTGTTGCTTGTTCTTCCCTCGGAATATATTTTACATCGCTAGGTACATCGCTTTCGACCTCGGGTGAATAAACTACATCTTTCGGTGAGCCAGGCTCTTCATGTGACGTTTCTGGACTCGCCGGCTCAAGGACATATTGGTCTGGTACCGTAGGCTCTGTATCGTATGTTTTGGGTTCATGATGGTAACCCGGCTGTGTTGGGACCTCATGATATTGTGGTATTGGTTCCTCATGAACAGGTGTTGCTTGTTCTTCCCTCGGAATATATTTTACATCGTTCGGTACATCGCTTTTTACCTCAGGTGAATAAACTACATCTTCCGGTGAGCCAGGCTCTTCATATGAAAATTCTTGACTCGCAGGCTTAATTATATTCTGCTCTGGCTCCGTAGATTCGGAATATATTTCTGGCATATCATAATTGTCTTGTTGATCCAGTGTCTTATACGTAATTTTCGGCGAATCTTTGGACGCGGATGAAGGAATTATACTATCCGTTGACGGTTCTGTATCGTCTTTTTTCGGCACGTTACTGTTGATTTCAGGCACTGAAATAACATCTGATTTCGGTGTTTTAGATCCCATGACCTTTGGTTCTTTATATACATGTCCTGGCTTTTCTGGCTTTAAAATTGTAAATTTGGGTTCCGAAGATTTAGTAATATGAGCTGGTTGAACATGAAGATTATTTCTTTCAGATGGTACTGTATGGACTACATGGTTTGGCTGATGTTTTCCAAGTTTTAAAAAGTTTCCATTTCTAGAGGGAGATTGTTCAAGAACATTTGGAACTCTGCTATTAGCCACAGGAGCATGAACGACGTCTTGTTTCGATGAGTAAAGTTCTTGATCGAACGGTGATTCATGAACTACTTCTTCTGGTAACATAGACTCTTCATATGGGGCTTCTGGACTCGATGGCTCAATTACATACCGCTCTGGTTCAGTGGGTTCTGATGTGTATGTTATTGGTTCAAGATGGTAATCCGGATGAGTAGGGACCTCATGAGAATATGGCGTTGGTTCTTTGTTATCGGGCATTGGTTCTTCTTCTCTCGGGATATACTCTACATCACTTGGTACATCACTGCCGATTTCTGGTGAATAATTTAGTTCTTCAGGAGAGCCTGGTTCTTCATATGGAGTTTCTGGACTCGATGGTTCGATTACATACTGCTTTGGTTCGTTGGGTTCCGATGTGTAAGTTATTGGTTCATCATGGTAATCCGGGTGAGTAGGGACGTCATGAGAATATAGCGTAGGTTCTTTGCTATCAGGCATTGGTTCTTCTTCTCTCGGGATATACTCTACGTCGCTTGGTACATCGCTGCCGATTTTCGGTGAATAAACTACTTCTTCTGGTGAGCCCAGTTCTTCATATGGAGTTTCTGGACTCGATGGTTCGATTACATACTGCTCTGGTTCGTTGGGTTCCGATGTGTATGTTGTGGGTTCATGATGGTAATCCGGGTGAGTAGGGACCTCATGCGAATATGGCGTAGGTTCTTTGCTATCGGGCATTGGTTCTTCTTCTCTCGGGATAGAGTCTACGTCGCTTGGTACATCGCTGCCGATTTCTGGTGAATAAACTTCTTCTTCTGGTGAGCCTTGAGTTTCTGGACTCGCAGGCTCAATTACATACTTTTCCGTTTGGCTATGCTCCGTGGTATATGTTTCAGGTCCATGATGGTATATCACTTCTCGCCTTGGCGACTCTGGCTCATTAAGTGGTGATGTTTCTTTTTCTTTTTCTGGATTTTCTGGCTTTGTTACATTATATACTGTCTCGGTTGGTTCGGTGTATGTTTCTGGCACATATTTGTACTCAATTGGTAGTTCATATAAATCTGGTATGTGCTTCTGACTGTCCGCATAAATTCCATTTTCTGGTACGTATTTAGTCTCATCAACACTCTCAATATCGCTATTCATACGTGGATGATAAATAAGATTGTACTTTGGTGACTTCAGTCCTTCGACGTTTTGTTTCGGTATTATGTGTTTCGGCACATTGTTGCCAATTACTTGATGTTTTTGATCAGGGGATTTCTTAATATGTACTTGGCTTTCGTGAGGATTATTAGGTTTAGATAGTACCTTGTGCATACTTTGATTTGGCTGGTATTTTGGAATCATTGGTTCATATACAGAATATTCTGGCTCACCTTGTGAATCATGATATTCTTCAATCGGTACTACACTCGCTGATGTTGGTGCATCCTTATTTGGTGTCATTTTATTTTTTCTTGATATATTGTTTTCGACATTTGGATAATGAACTACTAGTTGCTTTGGTAATACTGGTTTTTTGTATTCGAATTCTGGGCTCGCTGGCTCAACAAAATATTCTACCTGTTCGGTTGGTTTTGTAGAATATGATTTTGGTACGTTATAATATTCTTTTTTTGTAGGTACCTCATATGTATCTGGAATAGTTTTCTTACTAATCCGTGTTTGTTCATCTCCACTAGGTATATATTTCGTATACTTCGGTACGTCATTTCCGGTCCTTGGATAATGAATTACTTTTTGCTCTTGTGTCCCTGGACTTACTGGCTTAACAATATATTCTAGTGGTTCAGCTGGCTTTGTATAATATGTTTCAGGCACATAATGATATTCTGATTTAGTTGGTACCTCATCGGAATATGGCATGGGCTCCTTGCGAGCTGGTTTCAGAAAATCTTCATTTGGTATGTATTTAGCTTCAATAGGTATGTCGCTTTGAATCCCTTGATATTGATAATTCAAATTTTTTTCTGATGAATCAGTACTTTCTTGAATCGATGGTTCGTAAGTTGGTGATTCTATTTGTTGATATATTTTTTCTTCTGACTCATCTGAAATATTGTTATTTATATTTGATTCAAAATTATCAGGCTCAGAGTAAGGGAATTCGTCACTGAATGATTCCTCGGTTTCTTGAGACGGATAAACTTCATCGAACTCATTCAAATCTGGTTCACCAGAATAATCTTCTGGATTTACTCCGTGAATTAATGACTTAATTTTTATCTTATAATAATGGTTTTCATCATAAGATTTACTTGTCTTCTCTGGCTTATTTATGATATTTATTGTGTTAGCATGTTTAGATCCATGATGTCCTTGTCTTTCTTCTTTTATGTCCTGGGGTTTATGTTCTGATTTAGAAAGAAACGGCTTTGTCGCATCTTCTACCGGCTTTGTTTCTTTCAAGTGATGAGTTATTATTTTATACGGATGAGAAGATTTTAGTTTGTAATTTTTCACTTCATCTGAATTTGTAGATGGATAAGATAATTCCTGATTTATTTGGTAAATTTTGTTTTCGTGCAATACATGTGAAGGTTCAATCGTCATCTGTAATGGTTTGGTTAGTTTATGTTGATGATGCATTACCTCATAATTATTTTCTAACCTTTCGGAAGCGTAACTTTCTTCTTGCCTAGCATGTTTCTGATGAACAAGTTTTGATAAAGTCTTATCATCGTATAATTTGGGTGAATCAATAAATTCGATTGTACTGGTTACTGTTTTTTGTGTTGAATCATCATTGTATGGATATTTTGATGAATATTTATATAATATTCGTTGGTCCGGAAATTCATTTATCTGATTTTTACGATATTGAGGGAACATCTCATCATAGTTTGGAATCTCGTTACTTCCACTTTTTTTAAAGAATTTATACTCCAGTGGCTTTTCTAATAATGGATTGTATTTTTCATCATAGTTTTGTATTGGAATCGTCAGTAATTTTTTTGATTCGTAATCTCCAGGTAAAGTCTCTCCAAATATTTTATATGAGTCAGGTTCTTCTAATTCTTTTTGGGAAATTACATATTCCAAAGTATTCATTTCAGGTACCCCACTGAAAGACTGTGATGTTACATACGTAGTTACATGACTTTTCGCGTCAGATGGTATTAATTTTGACATATGATGAATTGATTTCTCGCGTTTTTCTAAATTATAATCGGACCGTTCTTCAGAAGGTGCTTCACCGTGTTTCAACAAAATCTTTAATCCATTCAAAACCTTAGATGAATCCTTATCGTCGTAAATATTATCTGTACCTATTGGATTTTCTATAGATTTTAAAGTACTCGAATGTTTATCTTTATTTCCTATCGATTCAATTTGTAAAACGTGTTTACTTGGCTGTAAACTTAAATACTTATCATTTCTGTAAATACCATCTTGATCCGTGTTTGATTGAAGCAAATTGATTGCACTATTACTTGATTTTTCACTTGATTTTAAACCATTTGTTAACGAAAATTGTTCCTTATAACTTGGAGTAAGTTTTACAACGCCGGTTAAACCACCATGCTCTTGGTAAGGCGAACTTTTGCTATGTAGCTGTAAAAATATTTTCGTTGACATATTTGTTTAATTGGTACAACCGTGCAGTGTCATTCTCAAACCAGCCCTTTAATGTTATAAAAAAATATTGTATTCTTACCACGGAAGAATGAACAGCAGTTGCTGCTGTTGTTGACAATATTGCCAATATTACTATTCCCATTGCCGCAGCAACGTGAATCATGAAGATTCGTTCCATCTATATTCACAAATTAAATTCAATATTGTATGAAACGAATTAAAAACAGATTTAAGCACAGTAAAAATATTTAGCTCAGCGATTGTTTGAAATAAATCAATATAATAATCAACGGTAAATCAATGTACAAACGTATCAAAAATTATTTTCGCGGCTGATCTTATTTTTCAATCATAATAGAACACTTTGCTGAACTAAATAACTCGACCGTTCCGTTGCCATTGATATTTTCACTATTTAACACCATTCATATTTCACATAAAACACAATAGCTTCAAACCTTTTTAAGAAAAGTGAACATGCGCTCGTGATTCTACGTGCTCCGTAAATATCAAGTAAGCTTGAACAATTGTCCTAAAAAACAGACTGACTGAAATATTTATGGACTTGCACTTGGTCGAAGATATTTGCGAATTTAATCCCACGAACGAGACTTTGCATAGTAATTAATAGTCGGTTCGTGGTGTTGAGTAAAAATTTATTCATATTGCGCATTTTTCACTGGAAGTTTGCGCATTGTTCTAATTAAATTTTCAAAAATATTATGCAAGATCACATAACATCTCGTACATTAATTTCCACTTAAATGTTGGAAAACCATTTCTCAAAAATACTTCGATTTACGTCAAAAAAATTCTTTACTACAAAACCAAAAACGTAATTGATGTTCTACGAAATTTTCCAAATTACTTTTCTCGCCTGATTCCTTGTCCTTATAACTATTAATATTTTTAAAATAAATTAACTTTCTCTTCTTTAATAATACATGACAGATCTTCGTACAGAAGAGAAAACGTCGATTTTACGCTCTGTGCATGTTCACTGATAATAAATTTTAGCAAGATTTTGGTTCATTTACTGGTATGAGCTATCAATTAATTCAGCTATAGACGTGATTATAAATGAAAAATGTACTATATAAATCGCCCTTTTTAATACAAGTTTCCATACAATAACCAAGAAGCAATTAGCAACGCAGATGCATTTAACATTTTTTTTTCTTAACATTGCAACAATAGCAAAATAGTTTTATCTATAACTCGATAATACCAAAAGCATCAGGCAACATAGTGAAATATTATACCATTCGTAAATGCTTCATTAGATACACATTATAAGACGCAAAGATTTCAAGGTTGGCTGAAAAAAATTCAATTACGCTAATAATTATACCTCCCATGAACTCTGCACGGATAAACTCCCACATTAGCGTCTCGTACGAGCATCCAATGCGATCCATCTTTCTACCTTCGTAAGTGTACGAACACATTATACTCTGCGCCACTCGATCGTCCATTTAATCTGACGGAAGAAGGCTTTAACAGATTGGGGCAACGCTTGGCAATAATAATCGGTACTTCCGAGAGCGCGCGTAACTTTACGATCTCGTTAAATATTTATATGTAACATATCAAATATTTAACCCTTTAAGATCTCCGTGATATATATTTACATTCAACTTGATGATTTGTGTATCTTAGCCAAATATCGTTTCGTACGAATTATATATAGTAATTTCCAAAATTAGTTATTAATGAAGTAATGTATCGTCAGTCGACTTTATTTTAAATAAAATTAATTAATGAATTAATTTATGTCAATTTGACACCGCTCGCCATATTGTACGTGTTGATCGTTTAAATTACTTAAGTCACTCAAAACTTTATCGGAAGTTCTTTTCAATAATGGATCATTTTTTCATACTTTTCAAAAAGAATTTCAAATGTGCGCTTCATAAATTCGAACACACATGGGCTGCGTGGGCAACCTCACAACTACAACTTTATGGAAGCGTATATACCACTGCGTGTGTAGCTCTATACATACATGTTTTTAGCTAGGAAAATGAAAATCGAGTGAAAAGTTATCTGGGTTGCGTGATCGCGCGACGTTGCGCCAAGCCTCGAGCTCGAGTCGATGGAATTTCGGAGCTCGTGCGCGTCGATCGGCAAGTTCGACCGGAGACAGCTTGCAGATCGAGACGCTGCTTGTTTTTTATCAATGTATGAGCGTAAGGCAAGAATGTGACTTTTATCGAACATGGAAGTGTTCGAGGATTGACTTTATTTCTTACTCCGATCGGTACATGTACGTGTAAAGTAACGCGCCAATTGGCATTTTACAAAGACGTCGCGTCTCGGTTGCCACGCAGGCGCAAAAAAAGCGCAATGCTCGGCTAGTCGAGTTAATTTGCGAGTGTCGCGCGGACAAATATTTGCAGTCTGAAAAGGAGTATACTTTTTACAACGATAACGCCTCGCTGGACTTTGAAATAATTAAGTTAGCGATGTCCGAGTTTCATCTAATCAGCTCTCTCGAGGACTTGCGTCGACCCGAATTATTCCTTTGAAAAAAAAAAAAAAAAAAAAAAAAAAAAGGTTCGTTTAATGAAGACAAGATTTTTCGACGCACAAGGGCGCGCCACGCAGCCTTTTCGTCATTGCTCCGATCGATCATCTCTCGCGATCTAACGCACAAATTTTCCGACGGCGCCGTGTATTCGCAATCTAAGCGCGCGCGCGTTATAATTATCCGCTCGTATAATTTCACCTACGCGCGCGTGCCTCGTATCGGCCGGGCGCGCGCGATATCCTTCACCTCGACGCGGCGCGCACGTGAGTACGAAGTAGGAGAAAAATCTTTATCGGCCGATAAGTCAAACGTCATCGCGCCTATCGCCCATTACGTGCACGCGTTTACGCTCGGGCGCGCGCGCGCGTTTAAGTCGTAAAATTCAATAACCGCGAGACTGTGCGCGGTGCAGTGTGCGAACACGATCCCGCATACATATAATACAGCAATATCGTGCGAGTAGGTACGTATACAGGCCCTGCGCTGCGCGCGCCCGAGCTGCGATGTGCGTTATGGGGTACCATATACATCCGAGTTATAACGCGCCGCAATTATAGGTGACGGGTAAATTAATATCTCTCTCGCTTTTCTCCGCGGGACCGGGGCCTCGATATGTTTATACATATTGTATATAGTATATATAAAACGGAGGAATTGGAGATCTTGTGCCGACGCGAGCGCGCGCGAGACGATATTCTTTATAACTCACTCGTGGCACAGAGAGAGAGAGAGCTTTCTGGGGCCCCGCAAAGTAATTATACCCGTGTATACCTACTAGCTTTAGAGAGAGAGAGAGAGAGAGGGGGGAGGAAAGTTTCTTCGTTTTATTTTTCGGATCTATACACCCTGTGCGCGCGCGAGTTTATTTGACCGATCTCTATACCGAGGCAGCTCTCGCGTTATATTTTGAGATTGCACCTGCGCGCGCGCGCGTGAATGATTATGAACGATTTAAGCCGCGCGTGAGTATCGAGGAGAGAGAGAGCGAGAGAGGTGTATACGTGCGATATGTATGCTGCATGCGAACGAAATTATTGGCGCCGTTTTCTATATGTACGATACGTTCGTGTTGGCGATTAGTTTCTGAAAATGAGCTTGAACATTTTTGAACAACAAACGCGTGTCGAGAGGAAAAATATTACGTTTTGAAATTTAGCCTCGGTGCTAATTCGCTCATTCGCGTAGTGCGAGTGAGGTAATGCACCGTAGTCCTACAGTTTAAATATTTAATCAACAAATCGATTAATTAAAATGTGTAAAGTATAACACACTATAGTAGAGTAACGAGGGAACGACGAGACAAGTAAATTTAAATGCCTGCGACGACTTTCTGCAATACATTTTCGTATGACGGGTTGCCTACAAGGCTTCGACATCGAATCCTTCGCTTTCGAATGCCATGGTGGCTCAGATTCTCAACGGCCTCCGTGGCGCAATTGGCTAGCGCGTTCGGCTGTTAACCGAAAGGTTGGTGGTTCGAGCCCACCCGGGGGCGTTTATTTTGGCCATTTTTACCAAGGCCAGTTCGAATATATCTTTTACATTTTTTGGTCCTTGGTCCTCGGTACAGTTTTCAGTGTTCAAAAGCTTTGAAGTGACGCAGAAAGACAAAGTGCGTTAAGAACTTAAGTTTTAACAGTTTGTGAAAATAGGGGTGGGTGTATAACAATCCGAAAAATCGTAGTATCCAACTTTTGAACGGACCAGAGCAACTTCTCTACGTTAAAGTATCATATTCAAATCGAGTTTTCCGTCTGTTGTAATTCAATACGGATCGCATTTTTCACCGCAACGTCATGAACGTTCGTATCTGTAATAGATACCAAAAGCATGACACAGAATTAATATGCAAGTTTGACACGAACACAAATGACGTTCCCCAACATACGATGATTGTTTCATTGGCGACAATATGTCTCTTTATCAAGTCGTTCGAGTTTAGAGTTTTTCATTGGTACACGCGTGAAACGTCTGCCCAAGCATTTCCCAGTAATACAGTAGCTCACTAGCGTCTTCTGTGTTTTTTCCATTTTTTTCGTTGAACTGACAGTCATTCACGATCAGGTAAAAACCAGGTTTGGGTCTGATTTCAAAATTCGTTGAAAATGATGAAAAAAGTGAAAGTTCTGTCGTGTTATATCGATATTTGACAAATATCAAATACATCTTTATTTTTCATAATCACTTCTGTAATTTCTCAATATTTGATTTATCAAAGAATCAACGACGAAACTTAAATAATTACGTGGCGTATTTTTTATCGATAATAATGTAATGTTTACCAACATCTGGGAACTTCTTGACCGAGTGATGAAAGTCGCTAACCCACCTAACCGATGAGTTCAAGACTAACGAATAAAAACAACGCGAGTAAATTCGTCAAAATACCACTTCGTTGGTGTTGAAATCTTTTTTAAATAACCAATACACCATTAAAAACGATAATTAGCTAGGAGAAAATAATCATGATTCAGCGGGTCATCCGTATAGAAAGCTAAAAATGTTTCGAGCTCGCTGCAACGCGCGAATAAACGTATTTGACGATATTCCTTCGATCTCGAGTCGAAAGTCGCCGCGAGACTCCAAAGTCACGTGTGTAAAAATAAACCAAACCTGTTTCCGAGCGAGATTTCTAAACAACCGAATGCTTTTGTCTAAATCTGTCCACGCTGCGAGCGAGACAGCGAATTGAAGCACGAGTATATATATCTTTTGCATTATAGGATGGATATCGCGTGACAATCTCGAAAAGCGATATCGTTATTTCCCAGCTGTTTTTCACGCCCACTCGACGCCGCGACGCTCTCGATCGATCGCGCGTGAAAATTTGCGCGCGAATGCGCGTTATTAGAAACGATAACAACAACGACACGTGTGCGTTTTTTGCGTTTATAATCTTCTCTCGCGCAGCGGCAAATGGCCAAATCTTTGCCCCCGCCCCAATTAAAACGCATATACATTACCAATTCTATACACAGTTATATCATTATAACGTATGATATTTGCACATGCGTGCCACGAGCTCGCGCGCGCAGAAGTGGCAAAAAGAAAGTCACGCGATGTATGCGCGCGCGACACGAGCCCCGACTAGAATACAATACAAAGTATCACGCGCGCATATAATAACAAAATAAAAGTCGCGGAGCGTCGAGAAAAAACAACATTGCGGACGCAGTGAGAGGAGGTGGGGGAAGCGCGTCCGCAACAACCCCACGCACGTGTGCTGCTGCATCGCCCACACTGCATAAGTTTGCAATCATCCTCTATGCATGCCCCGCGTGTACGAAAAAAATTTTTATCAGCTTCCGAGTATGCTGAGACATCGTCGTCGCGCCAACGGTAATGGGTCTATCCATCTATCTCTCAGTAATATAAATACGAAATGTGCAGTACTGCATAAAGGTATATATAGGCGCGTTTTATATTCGCGCACACGTTTGCAATGTAATAATACCTATATATACACAGTAAGAGCACACGGCGCATCGTCATCGTCGCAGCAGCGGCGGCGGCAGTTGTAGCACCACCACCACCCGACACCACCACCACCACCACCACCAACCACCACTACTACTATACTACCACCTCGATTCTTCTTCAATTGTTCGAAGCGATACTTTTTTGTCGATCTGCAGCAGCAGCAGAGCCAGAGAGAAAGAGAGCAGCAGCTCGTATCGTCTCGTGTCCGTGCGTGCGATGTGCAATTGAGGTATATATATACCTATACATCGAGCATATATATACAGATTTATATATATAATACCTAGGCCAGGTACCCAGAGTGTACTACACTGCACACAGCTCTCGCCGAGGCACGCGAGAGGGTAATGTTCATTTACTGCGTCATTGGGATTTCGCGCGAGAGCTGACACGACGACGACGACGATTGTGACAAAAACAACAACGGGGCGGGCTCTGCTGCAAGGAGAGCTGCTGCCGAGTTTCGCGGTGTGACTCATTTTTTTGATATAACAGTGCATCCATAAATTCGCAGTAGCAGCTTTCGTGTCATCGCGTGTATTCATATATGCGTGCCGTGTCGTTCGCGTGCTTTAAAAGGAGGCCCGAGCTTTTTATGGAGTGCCCCTTCGTCGTGCAGTCGTATACGGCGCGTTAAAAGCCGCTGTGACATATATACATACAGCAATATCAAAACGCGGAGCGCGGCGACGGCGGCGGCGACGACAGCTCTAATACGGTGCGTGTTTTCGTGTGTCCGTCTGTGGTGGTGGTGTGTTGTGTTGTATTATGTATATAAACATTACATCAGCTGCGCTTGGGTCTCGTTTTTAAACGTAACACAATATATATAATATAATATATACGCATACACGTCAGCTCAAACGGTTCATCGCATACAGTACAGTGTCATTGGTGAGTGTGAGTGTGTATACAGCAACAAACGTGAAGAGCCGCGCTATCGCGCATCGTCTGCGAATTTTTTTTTCTGCATGTTTATATACCGAGCGGAGCAGGCATATACTCGGTGTATACGAGACACATACAGATATATAGCCCTGAAGCAGGCGAGACAGAGAAAGAGAGAGGAAAGAGCGAGACGGAGCGAGGAGAGGCAACGCGGGTAGGAGGAAAGAGACCTACTGGCTCATCATCATGGCGAATCAAGACACCGAACCGATGTCACGTTTGCTCAAGCTCGCCAAAAAGTTCAACTGCTTCTACCTCTCCGGTGAGTTATTTGATTTTCGCCTCGGGGTAGCCACCACTGCCCCGAACGCTGCCGCGACAGATTTTATCGATTTCGCATTTTTGCGTGTACACACGATGACGACCATGACACATAATATGAGAGACCGAGATACACACACGGACGCGACTCTTTTGTTTTCGAAAAATCCCCCCCAATAAATAATGCCAACGCTGGACTCGTATTACTGTGTTGATTATTGATTTGTCATTTTCAAGACGGATATCCGTCGTATGCTGGGCTTACTGTTTTTTTTGTATCGTCGACACGATGCCCTCACAAATGCTCGAAGCGGATTTCAAATTTTTAGACATCGACCGAAATTATTTTCGACGGTTGAGACTTTGTTATAACGAATAATTGGATAAATTATCAAATTAACGATTTGGTTTTTATTTAGTTTACTTGATCAAGGCTAATACTAGAAAGTAAAAATAGTAGTTTGACACTGTCTGTGTAAGTGCCTTATGCACTTGGCCTCAGTCCAGAAATTTATATTTGCAGTAATTTTCATCCTATTATTTGCTTGTATTGAAAATTCCTCCGACATTATGTTATTCATTTAATTCTTTACTAATCATTTAAATGCATCAGGTCTACATGCTGGGGACTGCAGAGCATTTGTTGTCGATGGACAACAAATTGGACTTGTCAGACCTGATGTGATGAAAGAACTTTTGAATCATCCACAAGTAAAATCAATTATGATACATTTCTGTGGAATGTTCAACAAAATGATTTATTCAAATTTTTTTTATTTTAGGTATTTCAAGTTCATCCAGAATATGTCCAACTCAACCCGGCCTTTAGAGACTACAATGAAAGAAGTGCAAAAGTTGAAGAAGTTCTTCGAGAATGGAGAGGGGGTGACAAATTTGTTGCATTGCATGGCTGGAGGGAAGAATATTATGATGTACGAGCTCAATTCAATACTCCACCATTGTTCAAAATGGACCGTTCAGCAACATGTAATTCATTGACTTTTAATTTATGAAGATTTAAAAATATTTTATACAATATTTAAAAATTTTTTATGATATAGCTCTTTTTGGAATTCGAAAATATGGTGTGGATATAAATGGATACGTAATAGATCCTGTAAAAGGATTATCAATATGGTTACAAAAACGAAGTCCAAAAAAACAAACATGGCCAAGCTTCTGGGACAATTGTGTCAGTGGAGGACTAAGTGTAGGCTTTGGCATTCATGAAACTGCAATCAAAGAAGCTGCTGAAGAAGCTGGAATACCAAATCACTTACTAACCAAATTAAAAAGTGGAGGATGCATATCAATATTCTTTGAAAGTAACCGAGGGCTATTTCCAAACACAGAATTTGTATTCGACTTAGAACTTCCATTAGACTTTGTACCCACTAATAACGATGGTGAAGTTGAGACTTTTGAACTACTGCCTGTTAGTGAATGTCTTGAAAGGATTCTTTCATCTAATTTTAAGACTACATCTGTTCCAGTTTCATTAGACTTTTTTATTCGACATGGTGTCATAACACCAGAAAATGGTAAGAAACAAGCAAAATAATTAAAATTTTATAAATAATATTTCATTAAAAAAAAATTTAATTTTTTATTTACAGAGCCAAATTTTATTCAAATTATGGAATTGTTACATGTACCATTGCAAACAATGTATAATCAACCTCATAGGAAGCACAAAATTTCTACCAATGGTGAAACAAACAGTTTAGGACGAATTTAAATGATTCAAATGTAGGTATTTTCAATTTTAAAACATCACAATTTTTAAGAAATAATAAGGCATTCTTATTATTTTTCCATATAATTTTATTTTCAGTTCTTTCTATTAAATAAATAATATTAATAGTTGTCTTAAATTTTTAATTTCAAATTGAGTGAACATATTTTAATAGTCTGAGTTTTTGTTTAATGTTGTATTTGCACAATTACATGTTAATATGTATATTTATTTATAAACTATTTATTAATGTAACATTCTGTTACTTAAATCTAAAATGAACTTCTGAGAATATTTGCAAAAAAAATTTGCCAAGGAGAGCAAATCAAAACTAAATCAAAATTTCTTGGCATATGATGAAACTAATAATTGCCTCTGAAAATCAACGCAACGTATTCATGTTGAGTTTAAAATGAAAGCTTTGATTAACTAAATTTCCTTGAATATATTCTGAAAAAATTGTCATTCAAAGGGACTATATTATACTTCGCGCAAGATTTGTGTTTCAAATTATGGAAAAACGACAATAATGTGAGTTTAGACATTAGTCAAGTATTATCATGGCATTCCAACTGTATTTGTGAAGAAATATTGTCAAAAAAAATTGCAAATGAAATTATTTTTATATTAATTTGAAAATATGATGATGAAATATATTCTTTTTTGTAAATATTTTGAAAATTGTAAAAATTAAAATTTTACCGTTGCAAACTAAAAAGTTTGTATAATTATTGAATAATTTTTGGATTTCATAAACTTTGAAATTGCTCATTAAATATAAAACCTCATTTTTGTAGTATGATACGTTCGTAATAATTGAATTATATTGTTCAATAAATGAGATTATTTTATAACTCGTTCTGTGACGTTGAGATCTTGAAATTAAGCTATGACCATTTTTATGAGCACAAAAATATTTTTCGATCCCAAGTTAATGCATTTTATGCAATACTTATATTTAAAACAAGATCCTTCCGAATCGTTCTATTCCGAAGCAAAAAGCACTAACACGTATATTGCAAATATTATGAATGTTTATAATCAAAACTTTTGGAGATACTAAGTGCATTCCCAGTATTATTATTTAGGGACAATTAATGTGTTGTTCTATTTGAATTAAATTATCTAAAATGTTAACTTGAAATTTTGTGAAATCGTGCTCCATGTAAATTTTGATGTAAATTGTATATTGGTATTTTAATTTTTAATAAAAAGTCTTTGGTGTACAAGGCAGATACTTACGAATGAGCAATTATGTATTTAACAGACCACTGTGAGCTTAGAAATAAATTTATTATATTTATTTTTAGTAAGCTCAATGATTAATTATGGTTGGCCATTTTTATAATGAAATTCATAAAAATAGCCGTCTACAAAATTGTCTTGTTCTTTCAGATTTTGAGTACTTATAAATAAAAGTTATTGCAATAACTGTAAAGGTCAATTTTTCGTAATCTTTTTATAAGCTACAGAGTAACTTTTTTATATTTATTAAAACTTAAAAAGAAAAAGGAAAAGAAACGTTAAAAAGAACGAGATGAATCCATTAGTATATTCAGTACTATTTGCTGATAACAACGTGTTCTAAAAATGCGACTTTTCTGAATTTATGTATCGACACGATGTTGTAAAATACAGTTTTATTACATTTATCATTGAAATATCTTGTTACGTGCTTCAGAAATAATTTAAATGCGTATTTCGTACGGTACACAAAGAAAAAAATTACAAAAAGTTTGTATAATTACTATTAACCAATATTCATGTATTTAATTGAATGTTGATATTATGACCTTAATTTTTAGTACTTAAATTTATCGCAAAATCTACAAATATCCTAATTATACTGATACTTATAAACTTTAACAACTTAATCTCTTCAAATTAAATTAAAACTTGGTAAAATTTCCAAATAATTTCGGAGTAAAAAATCTCAAATATACGCAACAAATCATGAAAAATAAAAAATATATTCGCATATGATTTCTTTTGATTTATGCAACTGAAAAATAATTATGGTGCTATTATTAAAGTATTATGAATTCAGCTATAATTATTTTCCGTACGTGAAAAGTTATGACTTAGTGAAGATGATTATGACAAGCATTACAAATGAATACTATAACATATAGAAAATCAAGAGTGTAAAAGCATGTATTTAAAGTTTTCTTAATATTCATTTAAAATGAAAGTGTTTGTAATTAGACGAAAAGAGTATTAGATTAATTAAAAAAGACTTATTATTACAATCGTAATGAAGCAATTTGCACTATTTATAATACAAGTGATCCTTAGGTGATTTAAAAATATATAAAAAAATTTTGAAAATTCATTGTTGTATTGATAACTCACCTATGTAATAAATATATTAGGAATGTTAGTTATAATTTATTAATTTACAAGAAAAATTTTTAATGACATGTACTCCAATATATATGTGTATATTTACATGTATGTATACATATATATGGGTCAAAATAATACTTTTTTACAAAACCGTGCGCACGTATGTCACCGATCTTGACGCGCTTTTGGTATGTTATAGTACATGGTAAAAAGGTCCCAAAAAAAAATTTTTAGACCCCCTCCCCCCTCCTACCCCCCACTTCCGGTATAAACGTCCATTTTCGATCTATATTTTTTCTGAGGACATGAAGCAAGTAAAAAATCTGAAAAAATTCATAAAAATACTTTTCCACAATCCAAACAACCTTGAATTTTTTCAGATTTTTTGAGTGCTTCAGGCCTTCAGATAAAATCATTGAAAATTTCAAAAATCGAGATACGGCGGTATGAGCCGATGTAGTACTCGGAAATTTTTTCAGTTATTTTTCGCATTAAAAAACATAACCTCAATTTTTTTCAGATTTTTTCAGATTACCTAACGCACCTTTTGAAGCCAAAAACCGATTTTTTTGACGAAAATAATTTTTTTAGGACAGTACGGAGCCTCGAAAAATCTGAAAAAAATTTTTTCTTGTTTTTTTCATCAAAATACGTAATCTCAAATTTTTTCAGATTTTTTAATTGAAGGCGATAGCTTCTAGGGCCGAAAAATGCTATTTTTAACAAAAAATGGTTCCTAGAACCCGATGGTTCCGGTGAAAAAATTTGAAAATATTTTTTTTGAATTCCTTGTCAAATTTTAATAAATTTTGACCGTTTCAAAAGTTCGATTGAAGCTTCCTAGCTCATTTTAGAGCAGGACAAAGATTAGTGCAAAATATCTGAAGACGTTTCTGAAGACATTAAGGAATGATAAAACTCGTTTGATGCTCTAAAATGAGCTAGGAAGCTTCAATCGAACTTTTGAAACGGTCAAAATTTATTAAAATTTGACAAGGAATTCAAAAAAAATATTTTCAAATTTTTTCACCGGAACCATCGGGTTCTAGGAACCATTTTTTGTTAAAAATAGCATTTTTCGGCCCTAGAAGCTATCGCCTTCAATTAAAAAATCTGAAAAAATTTGAGATTACGTATTTTGATGAAAAAAACAAGAAAAAATTTTTTTCAGATTTTTCGAGGCTCCGTACTGTCCTAAAAAAATTATTTTCGTCAAAAAAATCGGTTTTTGGCTTCAAAAGGTGCGTTAGGTAATCTGAAAAAATCTGAAAAAAATTGAGGTTATGTTTTTTAATGCGAAAAATAACTGAAAAAATTTCCGAGTACTACATCGGCTCATACCGCCGTATCTCGATTTTTGAAATTTTCAATGATTTTATCTGAAGGCCTGAAGCACTCAAAAAATCTGAAAAAATTCAAGGTTGTTTGGATTGTGGAAAAGTATTTTTATGAATTTTTTCAGATTTTTTACTTGCTTCATGTCCTCAGAAAAAATATAGATCGAAAATGGACGTTTATACCGGAAGTGGGGGGTAGGAGGGGGGAGGGGGTCTAAAAATTTTTTTTTGGGACCTTTTTACCATGTACTATAACATACCAAAAGCGCGTCAAGATCGGTGACATACGTGCGCACGGTTTTGTAAAAAAGTATTATTTTGACCCATATATATATCCATGTGATAAAAATAAAAGGCATCGAATTTTATTTACATTGATGTTATACTCCATTTTTTTCTTCTTAACATGACCTTTCACTGCATTAAAAATTTAAAAGCTTCAAATTGTATCTCAAAATGCGAAGAAGAATTAGCTAGTTAGCTAGATTCAAATAATCCAACGATTACTGTCTAATTTTTGTCTTAACGATTTAATTTTCATATCCTCTCACCATAAAAGTTGATTAATTCATATGAGTTATAAAAATAAATGATACAAAATGAATAATTTTTACTGTCATAAAAAACTTTATTATAAAGTATTTGAATAATTTTGTACAATTTATTAACACATTTACAAAATGATTAGATCATTTTATAAGTTGAATTTTTTGTCAATACGACTTAAAAATTTGTTCAAGTTTTCACAGAATCATCTCCTGTTTGATTTTAGCCGCTTTTTTGATAAGCAATCGTTAATATTTAGATGCAACTTGTAATATGTTTAGATAAGTTCATCGACTTACAGATATATGCTGAGTAAATCAATTGAGTAGTAGCAAAACTTTTCACTGGTCTTAATTAACTTAATTTTTGTTCTTATAATTAACAATTACTTAGAGTAGGTTACATAATAAATAAACATATAACTATCGTTCAAGAGTCACATTGTGTCATACAAAATGTTTAAATAAAAAAATTATTTTCAAGCTCCAGTTAGTCGTCGATTTGCAAATAAAATCACACCTTGGAATAACAAACGAGGGCAGTCTCAATAGACATTTAGGCACTGCACATCATACAAGCATCTCCGTTCTCTCGTGAACATACTAATGCAGCATCTTCTTCTTCCTCTTCTTCTTGTTTGAATGATCTATTACCGTTCTCAGTGATTGATTGATTTTTTGAGGGAGTTTCCGTTTTCAATTTTGATTTATCAACAGTAAATTGGAGTGCATTCGCTGCAGGTTTTGTTCTCAAATAGTACATGCCAGTTTTAAGGCCCTGAAAACAGTGATAAATTCATAATTCAGATTTGTTAGAATATCCCAAATATAAAGGAAAATGATTGACTTACAGCCCTCCAACCATAGAAGTGCATGGACGTAAGTTTTTCAGTCGTAGGTTTAGCCATATGTACATTGAGAGATTGAGATTGATCAATGAAAGCTCCTCTATCTGCAGCCATTTTCAAAATAGTCTTTTGGGATATTTCCCAAACAGTCTTATATAGTTGTTTCAGATCGTCGGGTATACGTTCAATATTCTACAACAAATTTTGTTTCAATCATTTCATTATTTTACAGATCTACTTTAAATGTAAAAAGCATCTGAAAATGGAATCATTACCTGTATAGAGCCATTGTTAGCAATAATTTCATTCTTCATGTCTTCATCCCAAAGATCTCTTTCAGTCAAGTCTTTCAAAAGATGAGGATTGACGATTTGGAATTCTCCAGATAAGACTCTTCGTGAATAAATATTACTGGTGTAAGGCTCTATAGATTCGTTATTTCCAAGTATTTGTGCTGTCGATGCAGTAGGCATTGGTGCAAGAAGTAATGAATTTCTCACTCCATATTGAGCAATTTTTGCTTTCAAAGCTGCCCAATCCCAGAGATTTGTAGGAGTCACGTTCCACATGTCATATTGCAAAATCTGGAAGGAATGGAGTTATTTATTTGAAGTTTCTACTTGTTGGTACAGTGATAAATAATAAAAAATACATACTCCCTTGCTGACTGGTGAACCTTCATACGTAGAGTATGGACCTTTTTCTTTGGCAATTTCACAACTGGCTTCTAATGCTCCGTAGTATAAAGTTTCAAAGATTTGAATATTAAGTTTCTGAGCCTCTTCACTCTCGAATGGATATCTCATCAATAAAAATGCATCAGCTAAGCCTTGAACACCAATACCTGAAAAATAAGTCAATAGGTATTAACTCATTCATCTTTTGAATTAATTTCCAAATTATTTTGATACAATTGAAAATTATTTACCAATGGGCCTGTGTCTGAAGTTGGAGTTCTTAGCCTCTTTGATGGGATAGTAATTGATGTCTATTATCCTATCTAAATTTCTGGTAGCAACCTTGGCAACTTCTTTCAATTTCATGAAGTCATATGTGCGTTGATTTGGATTTATTTGGACAAACATATTAACAGCAATTGATGCCAAATTACAAACTGCCACTTCATCAGGTGATGAGTACTGTACAACCTCAGTACATAAATTACTACTTCTGATTGTGCCCAAATTTTGTTGATTGGATTTACGATTACAAGCATCTTTGTATAACATGTATGGTGTTCCAGTTTCTACTTGTGACATCAAAACAGCTGTCCATAAATCACGAGCATCAATTTGTCGTTTGTAACGTTTTTCTTCTTCGTATCTAAATTAAAAAACCACAAATAAGTTAAAATTCTATGATTGTTCAAATAGTTCTATAGAAACTTACTTCATATAAAGCTTGTCAAATTCTTCACCCCATACATCTGGCAAGCCTGGACATTCATGAGGACACATCAAACTCCATTTTCCATTATCAAAGACTCTTTGCATGAATAAATCTGGGATCCACAAAGCATAGAAAAGTTCTCTGGCTCTATGTTCTTCTTTGCCTGCAATTAATTTAGACAAGCAATGCAATATCATTCATTTTACAGCTATTTAATGTTTTGAACTCATGTGACTTTACCTGTATTTTTTTTGAGATCAAGAAATTCAAAAATGTCCGCATGCCAAGGTTCAAGATACATTGCAAAAGCTCCTGGCCTCTTATTACCTCCTTGGTCAACATAGCGTGCTGTGTTATTATACACTCTTAACATAGGAACTAAACCATTAGAAACTCCATTTGTTCCGGCAATTCTTGTACCCTTGGCTCTGATTGTGTGGACACTCAAACCAATGCCTCCAGCAGATTTACTTACTAGAGCACATCTCTTTAATGTGTCATAAATACCTTCAATACTATCTTCAGTCATTGTCAACAAGAAGCAGCTAAAAAATTCAATTCGTATTAGTATGAGACATTGATTTCAAAAATTTCAATTCAACTTACCTTGACATTTGTTGGCGTCCAGTACAAGCTGAGAAAAGTGATGGTGAAGCATGCGTGAAGTAACGCTCTGACATGTAGTTGTATGTTTCAATAACTTTATCAAGATTTTCTTCATGAACAGCAACAGCGACTCTCATGAGCATATGCTGTGGTCTTTCAACAACTTTGCCATTGATTTTCAATAAATAGCTTCTCTCCAATGTTTTAAATCCAAAGTAGTTATATCCAAAATCTCTGTCATAGATAATTGCAGAATTCAATTTATCTTTGTGCTTTTGTATCAGTTCATTATGATGTTTGCTTATCATTGGAATATGTTCTTTGGTGATTGGATCAATCATGTTATGTAAATCATTCATAACATCTGTAAAAGGTAATATTTATCATAAAATTAGCTTAATCTCAAAACTGATTTAAGCACAGATAAGTTATTCAAATCATATGACATACCGCTGAAGCATTTCTTGGTTTCTTTATGTAAATTTGAGATTGCTATTCTAGCAGCTAAAATTGCATAGTCTGCATGTTTTGTAGTCATTGTGGCAGCGGTTTCAGCAGCTAAGTTATCAAGTTCCACAGTTGTAACTCCAGAATAAAGCCCATTGATAACACGGAGAGTAATAGCCGTCTTAAAAATGCCAAACATTCAAAATTATTCTCATAAATATGGTGTGACATGAAACACATATTTTGTAGTTTAAACAATAGAAATAGCTTTATTTATTCAACATTGTTCAACTCACAGGATCGACATAGTCCATTTCCAGTCCATAGCACAGTTTTTGGATTCTCGACGTAATTTTGTCGAAATGGATCTCTTCCTTGTTTCCATCTTAATTAAAATAACACAGTTGAATTAATTATAAAAGTAAACAAAGCCTTAACCGTCAAGTACAATATATTACGTTTAAAAACCACGCATTACGCGAGAGTAGCAGGTTTGCACCATATTACTCAAAAACGATCGGTACGAATTTTTTAATTAAAATGCAAGTATTTTAACTCTATCGCGAAAAAATTTGCACATGTAACTTGAAGCAAAAATTTAATGATAAAAATAGAATAAAATTCAGACTACTTACTTCGCTTGATAACGTACATCTTGTTCTTCTTAACCATTTTGATTGTTTGTCTGTTAATATTAGACAAACGACAAAAGTAATGAAAAAAATCGAAACGGTAAGCAGGAACAATTAGAAAATCCAACGGATCGGCAGAAAAAAATTATCAAAAACTCAGTCAAAATTGGAAAACGAGAACGGCGATAATAGATCTGTGATGTGCGAGGTGCCGCGATCGTCTGATGGGGTTCGCGCGCAAGCGACGATGGCGGTGCGGTTTTTCGCGCCCAAACCATCGAGTGATCACTTGAGATTGGTTGAAGCTCGTTCGAGAGGGTATTTTGTAGGATGTGACGTCAAAACGTTAGACATGTATAATTTGTATAAACACGCACAGACGTGCATCGAGTGTTGTTTATTTTTGGGTCGATGGCTCCTTTTGTCGCTTTACATGACAGCACTTACGGTGCATGAAAATCGAAGTATCTTCTGCTTCGTATCCCGCAGAGGAAAAATGTCGGCTTCCAAGAAAATTCGAATGTCAACATTTCAGCTTTATTGCGTAATTGTTGAAAATCCACAGACATTATTATTATTTGATATTTGAGATTTTGGCGCGGCACTGTAAATGTCATTTAACTTTCACCAAAACGTCAACAAAAAGTGAAAGTAGGAGTTCGTTTGCTTTACAATTTGGAAAAAAGGGTTTACATATTAATCTTAAAACTTATTAGATTTTCTTTAATGATAAAAAGCCAGTATAATTTTATATGTATCATGGAAAAGGTAAACAAACAATAGAGCTGACAACGCGCATGCTCTCGTTTAGAGTAAATTTCAGTAAATGTTATTATTATTATTGTGCTGCTGCGACGTGACTTGTCTCTATTTCAAACGAGCCAGAGAAGTAACGTATTAACGTATATGAAGTTCAAAATACCTATGTTATTCGTGTAACTTCTGAAGTAATGGCCCAAAATGCTTAGAATGATCTGGAATGAATATTTTATATGAGCAGATGTTCTAATACCGTTACAGATGCTATTTTACTTCGAGCACATAAGTTCGTTATGACGCTTCTCAAAATGTTAAGACCCTTTAAATGTAGGCGGGGTCTTTCACAGAAAAAATTTCTTCAAAGTACCATGTCAAATATTAATGGCATTTAATTACAAAATTTAAGGCATTTAAGTAACTTCAGAAAACGATCAAGAAGTGCTATTATTTTTCAGAGAATAAAATCACGAAAATATTGTCAATTATGTTTTGAATACTATAAATATGATTTTTAATCAATTGTTTTTTAATCAATCACACTTTACGTGTCAAATACAATCAAATAATTGCTTTCTCTCGTACATGAAGATGTTTCTCAATCGAATGAAATCTTGAATCCTTTTGTGCCGCGTGCAACGTGACCGTCATTATTCTCGCTGTGCAGACCGCGAAGCAGAAGTCTGCGAAATATTAGAGGTTTGTTCTCAGTGCTCCATTTGCGAAAATTTTTTGCGACTTGCGCGTAACAAACTCGGTGTCGGTGATTTAACGCTACGCTACGATCTCTCATAAGCGGTACTGTATATATATTGATATTATACAGTGTTTTTATTCTGTCCGGCCTGTCATATGCATTGATTATAAAACTATAATCCAACGTTTGAAATTTGTGAATGAAAACTTGCATTTTTCTGCAAATCCATAATAAACAGTGGCACTGTGAAACCGGTCTGGTAAATCAAAACTACAATCGAGTTTAACATTTTATATAAAAACTTTCGATGAACGAATGTGTTTATTATTGATTTGTAGACGTTTTAATAAACAGCCATGGAAGTCGATAGTAAAGAAGCAATGGATTCCAGCAATGACGTTTCAATCGTCGAAGACAGTGTTACGGATATTAAATTGGAACCTAAAAAAGAAATTGTCCATCCACCCCCAAAAGTGAGGGTACCAGTAAAACATTCAAATTTGGGTATCAGAAGTCACGCAATGTAAAGGATGAGTTTAATTTTGAAGTTTTGGCTTTATTTGTGACAGGTAAAATTGCAATTTAATTTCCAGGGATATGAGTACAATGGTTGAATTGACATCCTTCAATACACTGGGTAAAATACAACCTTTTCTTGTAACTGTGTCAGCAAGTGCAGCTGTTTTGATTGATCTTCACTGTCATTTAACTGATAAAGAAGTCTGTGGTTATTTGGGAGGACATTGGGATATAAATGCTCATAGTATGTTTTTTAATTATTTATATACTTCAGTTCTTAGTATTAATATTTGATTGTGAATATTTTCTTTATACATTGTAGATTTGTCTATTCTTGGAGCTTTTCCTTGTCGTTATGCTGGAAAAGATAAATCTGCTGCAGCAGCAGTAGAAGCTGAAATATCAAAAGCAATGGAATGGAAAAGAATGACTTTAGTTGGTTGGTATCATTCTCATCCAAAATCTCACGCTTCTCCTTCTTTGAGGGATGTCGATGCTCAACTTGACTATCAAATAAAAATGAAAGGACCCAGTGATAATGTGTATACACCTTGTGTGGGACTAATTTGTTGTAAGTATTTTAAAATATTATTTTTGCGCCTGATCTCAAATTTAATACTTGAAAAAATAAAATTCTAGCACCTTACAATACTGACTCAAACTGCTACGATTCAAATTTCAACATATTCTGGTCAATGCCACCCCCTGAAAACAGGCCTCATGAGTATCCTAGGCCAATGTTGCTAAGTTACACATTATCACAGGAGCAATATATTTCTCAAGATGCACTTGAAGAAATGGTAATTTATACACATACAAATTTATGTTTTGCACAGAAAAAATAGTATATCAATTCATTTATTTTCTTTTTTTACTTAGAAAAAATGCATTGAGTACTATAGACTAGAAGGAGGTATTGACTTTACTACCAAATTCAATGGTAACATAACATACTTGGAAAGATTAAAGGTATGGCAATTATAGCATTAAAATTATTTATCATTAAATTTTTGCTTATTAACTGCTTTATCTTTCATAGAACTCTCTGGTACCAAAATTGCCAGGACGAAATAATCGCTCAAACGGAACTTACTGGGAACTAATCAAGGAGATGCTTGCTCCAGGTTTCGATGATGGATCAGAACCTTCTTATGCCAATCTCAAGTTCCCTCTTATGAATGATACTATAATGCCACCGTCCAGTGTAACAACTCCCTTCATTCCTCCTGCTTTATCTGCTGTACAAAAAGCCTGTTTACAAGCGGATGCTGAAAACAATCATAGAGATTCACCATCATTAAAATCATCTCATATAATCAGTACAGCCGAAACCATGCCAACTTTTCGCGCGGGCGAACTCACGGTGTCTGTGAAAAATACAAAGAGTGATTACGATTACAGTCCAACCGATTTCACCAAAATAGACTCTATGAAAGGGAGAAACGACTATTCAGCATCTGACTTATCGCAGCAAATGAAGTTCTCCGATTTATCAAAATTAGCCAGTTTTTCACCAGCTGAGTTAGCCAAACTCACTGGTTTTACTCTCAGTGAATTTACGAAAGCAGCATCTTCGTCAACGTACATGCGAAACTTGACTAATCTCTTCAGTCCTATGGGTAAACTCGACCATACAACAATAGAGGCTACTGAAAAACGATCCAGCGAATTGAGTGATTTGTCGTCACCGTTCAAGCCCCCACAGGCATCTTCGCCTGGTTCACCGAAAGAAACTCATAAAGCGACCGTGGAAGATTATTCAGATAAGAGTAAAAAGTATTCCGAGCCAAAAGATGCTTCGAGCAGCTATGCTGCGAGTGAAGACTTGTCGAAAACCGCTGATACATTAGATATGTCGACGAAGAAGCACCAGGCCGATGAATCTTCCGGTGAGACTTTGGATTTATCGAAAGATAGACAAAGCTAAGTTCAAGCCAAGGCCCAGTTCTATCGGCCTTTCGATTTATAAAACTGCGAGATTAGGCGTTATTACAAAGAGACAATTCATGAAAGTATGAAAAACTTAACGAAAAATGCCAAGATTGACAGCATCTTTTTAATTCGTAAAATTTTTAATGGTTGTTGAAAAGTTGATGAACCGAGTCATTGTTGTAATAACAAATAAATCATGCGATAAAATTTTAAAAATCGAGAGGCCGATAGGGTGGGCTACGTATATCCTATCTAGATTTAAAGAAAACTTCTCATTCTTTTACTCCATGAATATAATTTTTATATTTTGCATAGAATTTACAAAAATTGCATGAGTTCTGTACTTAATATTAACATAAAAATCATTTATTCTTCTATACTAAAATTAAAAATTAAGTATAGTTTGCAACTGCTCTTTAAAAGTATTATTTATAAAATAATTAGACTTGATATTTTGTTATAGTTTAACAAAATTTAATCAATTAAACTTGTGAATCTCACGTTGCATATTTGTGATAAGATCAACATAATATTGAAAATTATTTTATACTTTACCGATTGTGTACGTACATATACGTATCTGTATAATTTACCTGGCAATATTTTATATTTTATACATCTTGTATATTCATCATCAAACCGATTTTGAACGGTGAAAAAATTATTTGAACATAAAAAGAAATACATGAAATGAACTGAAAATGTACATATTATATCAACAAAATGTGTAAAACTTGTAAGACAATGAGCACTATTAATTCGTAAATTAATTCATAAAGTAAAGAGAAATTCTTTAATTTTATGAATGATTTTTTACTATAGTAATACTCATAGATATCTATTTGCTATTGTAATATTAAATTTAACGTAATATTTAAAAATAATTTATGAAACAAAAAACTAATAAGAACTTCAACAAAAATAATAGAAAGATTATTTCTACTCAATATGAATGTTTTTATATTAAAAAAAAATGTACACACACTTTTTCAAAGCCTGTAAAAGACTGAGTGAAACATTGTATCGAATTAGTAACCGAAGATTAAGACTCGAACGTATGCATAGAATTAAAAAATATTTATAATGTATCTGTATGCGTATTGATTGTAAATAAACGAGACAACGATATCTAATTCAGACAATTCGTTGTTGAATGCCTCTCAAATCAGCTGTTTTCTCTCGCGCGCACATACCGATCTCAATGCAAGAAACCGATATCGGATGAAAAGAGCTTGGGAGTCGAAAGCGATATAGGTATATATACATCGCCAACTGTATACGAGGTGGCACCGCCGTGATTTTCTCTGTATGTATTGGTGCACACGTTCGCGTACCTATGTGCGTGCGCGTGGATATGTATGTAATACCAAATGGTGAAAGTCATCGGTGGTACGCGAGTCCACTGTGGAAGGGATTCCTTCTGTCCCTCTCTCTCTCTCTCTCTCTTTCCGTCTCGTGTATAGGCTGCAGAGCAAAAAAATCGAAGGCGCTAAAGGAGCTGCTGCTACTGCTGCTGAGGTTGGCGGTACCAAAGTATAAGCCGCAAAGACTCGCGGCAGTCGTTCCTCTCGGCTTTCACCTGGCCGATCGGTGAATATATACAGAAAACAATACGGAGTTTCTCTCTCTCGCTTTATGTGCGTCTCGATCCGCGTGGAAACAATATACGGCGCGACGATGACAGCGACTCGGCCCAACATTGACAGCCGATCGACGTGACAAAACTAAAGAAAGAGGGCGAGAGACGAGAGACACCATGGTCCCAGGCGTCGTCGTGGTTTTTTAGATAGTTTATTTATTTAAAAATAATCGGTAAAAGTTCGTCGTCGCGTGTGGTGTTGTGTCGTGTGAATCGATCGAGCAGCCATCGTACAAATTCATCGCCAAGGTGCAGAAGAAAGCGAGATAGAAGAGGCGATTTTATAAGTGCAGTGAATCGGAGTCGTCGTGTGTGTATATTGCATCAAATATATATACACTTTCGTACAGCAGCAGCAGACGCGCGCCGCGCTCGAAACAGCTGGTGAGTGCATGTGTACTACCATATACACACACACACAATATATCCACGTTACTATATAGCGCACAGGTTGTTTAAGTAGGCCTCCTTTTTTCGGCTCTCTCTCTCTGCGAACGAGCGATGATCCTCCGCTGCTGCTGTTGCGCGCGATGCAACACACAGCACACGACCGCAGACGATCTCTCGCGGCGGCGGCAGCGGCGTTGAAGGAGAAAGGATATGTATCGCCCGCGCGTCGCAGCTCTCGCGCGCGCCAAGAGCCCCCCGTTGAACAACAAATCGCAATAATATAAGTAATGTGCGCGCGCGAATTTTTCAGTTGCGAAAGTGTATCTACTGCATATTATATACTACCGCACCGCGACCGCGTGTGTTTGTAATAGTAGTTCTTCTCCTCCTCGGCGTTGTGTACGAAACAAACGATGACTAAGATATGATGCCAGATGATGGGAATTATTATTTCAGATCGGTCTGCCGCGATAAAACTCGCGCGTATGTACTAATATTGTGTATATTATGCTGCTACGGTGCGAGAGTCGATTTTGAAAGTCTCCCGCCGCCGTTGACGTACTACGACTGCTACGCCGCAGCTACCGCTATATATGATAACAATGATGTCGTGCCTTAGTATATTTACTATTCGGCATTTATGAAACCGATTTATGAAAAAATATATCACGCTGCACTCTGTAGCCGATTTTTATCGTCTCCATACGTAGTGCGTAACTGTGCGATCGGTGTGTGTGTGTGTGAAAAAATCGAGAAAAATTCGTACGCGTTTCCTCTACGTTATATGTGCAGGCTGCAGCTCGATGCAACGAGCGAGCTCGAAACGTTGACAAAACGGACAGTCTTGGCGAGCACGAGGAGGGTCAGTGGCCGCCGTCGCCGTGTGCGCGGGGGCATAGGACGTAGTAGTTCGTGTAGCGCGTCGAGAATACAAAATAAGCCAACAAAGCATTGCTGCTGCTGCTGCTGTATACAAATTGCTACTGTCCACTCAACAGTACCTTTTCTTTTTCCTTTTCTTTTTTTTTTATCCAAATAAAAAAATTGAATCGAGCATAAATACTTCGGAATATTTCACGGATTCGAACATTTGACCAAAAAATCGGTTGATTCGACAGCTACATAATATTCAACACACACCTTAAAGTTTAACGTTGTTTAAAGTATAAACTCTCATGCTAGCTCAGAGAGAGGTGAGTAATTGCGCTCGAATCCTTGACGTTCGATCTCTGTAATCGAATTTTTCGTATTATCGCCGAATCGCGTTTTTTTTTACCAAAAGGTTCGATGCTTGTACATGCAGATGCGAGTATAGCTCGTTTATTAATCTCTAAAGAAAAGTAAAGAAAATCTGGTTTGTTTATGCGGTACATTGTCCGCTATCCAAACTGCGCGCAGCCCATTTTTTCTTGAATGCGAGGGAAGAAGAAGAAAAGAAACGAGTAACGTGCCGATTGTTGCGTTTCAATAAGGTATTCGTGAGATGAAAGACCCAACACGTGTGCTCTAACTTATACAATTATTTTGACTTTGCCACTTGTAGATTCACAGAATATGACACTCGCCATCTAGTGGTGACAACCGACTTGAATTATGATTGATGTCGTAAATTTTCGCACAATTACCGCAAATAAAAGGCTAAATCATTATTAACACATTTATTTTCAATCAAAATGTTAAAATTTGAGTAAAGAATTATGTATTTGCGTTAATTTTTGCCTTACAATAATGTGCAAGATTGAATTTTCATACATGTTTAGAACAATTTATGCAAAGGAAGAAATCGGTCCTGATGCATACATTTTAAACGAAAATTTCACGTAAAAGTTCCTTAAATAACATTAAATCGTCTTCCTAGCGTAGGAAGGCATCTCTATAAGCTTAAAGGCAAAAAGGTAACTATATCCTAAGTTATAAGATAGGAACTCCTTAGACCCTTTTTTCCTCCGAATTAAATAAGATAGTGAATAAGTTCTTGTGCTGGGGCGACAAAATATTGTTTACGTTAATTTTTATATCTGCTTTTACATTTAATTTGCATGAATATATTTAAGATTTTTCTAGCAATGTAAACGAAAAATCCCCTTGAGTTCGAAAAATGACATTTAAATGGTATACTTTTGAGTGCATGCTAAACTATTAATACCCAAATTCAATTATTTTTCCCTGAACAATGATCAACTTTACTTAGCTTTCTCAATTTCTCCGTTGATGAAGTAAAATATTTCATGCTGATAAAAAAACCTTGTGAGCGTTTGCTCGAAAGGCGTAGATAATGAAAAAGAAATTCTCAAATGATGTAGAAGTTGGAATTGACGAAAATCTTGTTGAGTATTTCTCGCGAAACCTATCGACAGAATACACAAAAAACTAAGCGACACGGCTAACTGCACGTGCCCATAGTTGCGTATGGATTAATTTGCGGTAGAGGGGGAAAATTTGGCCAACGACGCGGGCTCATCTTGATGAGCGATGTGTTACGTCGTTGGTGCACCGTGCAGAGTTGAATTTTTGACTACTTACGAGCGAGTGTTTACAAATTATATCCGTGAAAAGAACAGTTCTGAGCTTGAAATCGAGGCGCAGTTTTGGCTACCCGAAGCGCATAACCTCAAATATTTTCCCACTACTTATGGTGGAAAATTACAAGGAGTATATATAATATAATCAAGAAAATGATGGAGAGCTGCAATGACGTAGTTAGGTAAAACTTTTTTGTGTGTTACAATGCCATAGTAATTTTTTCAGTATTTCCTCATTGAATTGGATTATTCTTTAGAATAAAGGAAGAGTTGAGCGATACTTTGACGAACGCAGGTGAAGATTATGTTTTCAATTTGGTAAATTCTTATAAAGCCGAAAACTTGGAAACGATCCCGTGTTATACAGTGAGTTGAATTATCTTAATGATTACTGTTTATTAACTATGAGAAACTATAGCCCACAAATTTCATTATTATTATTATATAGGTAAAACATGCGAATGAAACTACAGCGCTACACGAGAGGTTAGATAAAAAAATATTCATCGATTTTGAGTGCCAACATATTAAACCTGAACTGAAGGCTCAATCAACAATCAACAGCAAATTTGAGTATAAAAATATTCAACCTGTTGTGAAAAAGGAAAACCAAAATTCGATCAAATACACGAATGATAAAAGCCTAATAATTTTGATTAAAAAGGGATTTAATTATAATGAAAATTGCCAATCGATTTCTAACTCCTGTATAGCATCGACCGGACATGAGAAACTACCGAATTTTGAAAAAAGTCGTAATAAACCCTTTGATTGCGACATTTACCACAAATCATTTGGGCAAACAGTTACCCTCAAAAATCACACAAATGCAGTACATAATCGAAACAAACCATTCGAATGTGAGATTTGTCACAAATCATTTGGAATACAATCGAATCTCAAAGTACACGTAAATTCAGTGCATAAAAAAAGTAAACCCTTCGAATGCGATATTTGTCATAGATCATTTCGACAAAAAAGTAACCTCAAAGATCACAAACAGGCAGTACACGATCGCATCAAACCCTTCGAATGTGATATTTGTCAAAAAACATTTACAAGAAAACAAAATCTTAAAAGCCACAGAATAACAGTACATGATCGTAAGAAACCTTTCGAATGTGATATCTGTCACAAATCATATGGACTAAAATCGAATCTCAAATTACACGTAAAAACAGTGCATAATAGGAGCAAACCTTTTGAATGCGATATTTGTCAAAAATCATTTTCACTCAAAAGTGTCCTCAAAAGACATATAAATGACGTACATGATCGTAGCAAACCCTTTGAGTGTGAGAGTTGCCGCAAATCATTTGGATACCAGCAAACCTTGAAAAATCACATTATTCAATTTCATGATCTAGACAAACTCCTGGAATGTCAGATTTGTCACAAATCATTTGGACTAAAATCGAAACTCAAACTACACGTGAATTCAGCGCATAAAAAAAGTAAACCATTCGAATGTGATATTTGTCATAGATTATTTGGACAAAAAAGTAACCTTAAAAGTCATATAATTACAGTACATGATCGTAAAAAACCATTCAAGTGTGATTTTTGTCAAAAATCATTTGCAGAAAAATCAAATCTTAAAAGGCACAGAATAACAGTACATGATCGTAAGAAACCCTTCGAATGTGATATCTGTCACAAATCATTTGGATACAAAAGTTACCTTAAAAATCACGTAAATGTAGTGCATAATCGTATCAAAACCTTTGAATGTGAAATTTGTCACAAATCATTTTCATTCAAGAGCAATCTCAATACACACGTTAATACAGTACATAATAGTAGCAAACCCTTCCAGTGTGAGATTTGTCATAAATCATTTGGACAGAAACGAAACTTTAAACGTCACGTAGATACAGTACACAATCGCAACAAACCCTTTGAACGTGAGATTTGCCACAAATCATTTGGACAGAAACAAAACTTTGAACGTCACGTAGATACAATACACAATCAAGAGGCACATAATTGGGGTACATAATGGTAGCAAACTTTTTGAGTGTGAAATTCGTCACAAATCGTTTTCATAAAAGCTAAGCGTCAAGACTTACATAAATTCAGTTCATTATCATAAAAAATTCATCTAATTTTGGGCCGCAAAAGTTACATCAAATGCCCACATAAATACATTTTCATATCGTAGCATATTGTAAAAACGAAAAGTTTTTTCGTCACACATTTAAACACCATAAATTTGTACTTTTATAAGTATATGTTATTTTTAAAAACTCTTGACATAAATATCCTCGAAATTTCTGATAAAATCTAAGAACATTTTCAGTTTTATCACAACTGTATAGAAAAATTTTTCTACTTTTTGAAAATAAATTGATACATTAAGTACTACGTCTTAGTTTTTAATTTTTTTGTTCTATTATCGCATTGACAGATTTTTAAATATCCATTCATTTTTTCACCTTTCCCCAAATACTTCGAATAATTCGATTGCTCGAATGATTTGGAGCCAATCGATTTGCAATAAATTATTTCAATTTCAATCAGCCGTACCACATTTGCCTTAAATTTGACGAGTGACAAGAATCTATTATGTTTGTGCGATTTCAGCCTCGAATTTCGCCTATGATTTGTAGAATTTTCTCATGACATATAGGCTGCAGCTACAAATGTGGATCTCTATGTCTGTTCAGCGAAATTAGAACATGCAATATCGCGCACTAATAATCGGCACGCGGACCTTCCGTGTACACTCGTAATAATAATAATATATAGCGCACTGCGCATTTAGCGCAGTAGTGGCGAATAGAAAGTTTTAAATCAATTCTTGCGCACGGCGTAATTTTTTTTTCTTGAACGCGAGGAAAGAAGAAGAAGAAGAAAAAAGAAACGAGTAACGTGCCGATCGTTGCGTTTCAATAAAGTATTCGCGAGATGATATACAGGACGTGTGTGCAGTAACTCCGTGAATTTGTAATTGGGTAGCGCGAGTTTTGTCTCACATTTTAAAGTGATTCTCAAATTCTCAGTTATAATTCGATGCAAAAATTGGAAAGAATTTTCAAGCAGTCGCGGTTTACTTTATCGACGTTCGAAATCGTAAATAACCAATCTCTCGCGATCGCACATCTCCATTCTTACGTGGATCCAAAAGTCATAATAGGAGCACCGAGTGATCCAGACAATTCAGCGTCCGAACGAATATCCAGCGTGCAAAAACAAAAATCTTTCCACCTTTCGACGATCGCAAAATCAATTCAACTCTGCCGATTCGCAGATACGAGAATCGAACGAGCGCTCGAAAAATTAGGAGCCCTGACTCGAGCGCTCGTCGCGGTATACGCGCAATTACACGCTTATTTTTTTCTTCGCCGAGGTAAAAGAAAAAAAGAAGTAGAGCCGCGCGTACCACGAGGAACTATAGAGACAGTAGGGAGCCGCGCACGGAATAATGCCATACACATACCAGTTGCGGAGTGCTATAGCGAGCAGCTCTGGTATACTAAACCTGTATATATAGGTATATAAATATGCCTATAGAACGCTGGCGGCAGCTAACTGAGAAGTGAAAGCGCGAAACTCTACAACTCGAGTCTCTTGCCTCGAGTGAGTTTGCGCTGCCGCGAATGTGTATACCTACTTGGCGCTCGCGCCTATAGGCTGTATACCTATCATCCATATACTACACGCGATACATTATGGTCAGGCTGTTGCAGCAGTGTACTCCACCTTTATGTGTGACCGAGCAATTTAGGATTTGGTTAGATTCCAAGGACTAACTCTCGAGTCCCGTAAGAAGATCGCTTATAGGGTATCTCGTTTTCAAAAATGACAGTAATAATATTTTCACACCTACAATGGTGTAGGCAAACATATTATACACGAGCGAAAACACTCGAAAAATTGGGACGAGGATCGATCTCTTCGTTAACTACAATAATTGCCATGGTGTGTACAACGAAGCTTCAGCTATGGGTACATCTATATTACAATACCGATCACGGGCGTACGGGTTGCGAAACGAAGGTGGCAAATTATTGTGCGTGTATAATACACACTCATGGATCGCGCGAACGAATAATGATTATAACAGATCTTTCCGTCTCTCTCAGCCTTATAATGTATTATGAGGTGCTGTATAATTCACCGAGAGCCCCGAGAGTATGTAAGCAATGTAACGTTTTGCTTGTGACACCGATGACCCGCTCCTTTTTTTTCACACTTACACGGGGCGAGTTTGACTCGTACCTACGGCCATTGTTCGTTTCTCGATCGTAATAAAGAATCTCGAAATCGTTATGATTACGCCGGGTGAAAATGAATCGTATCGCCTCGTGCACGTGTCATGGCAAAACTAGAATCTTCGCTTAACACATGATGCGCGTCATCGACGATCGAAACGCACGAGTACGAGTATAGCTTATACATAATCTCGATTCGCACTGCAGCCCGCGCGTAAATTCTCACTATACACCACACAGCTCGCGAGTCGGTTTCTCCAATCGATCGCAAAGAACAAACGCGGCAAATTCTTGTGATTAAGGGTCCGTCCTTCGAAGGAACGACCAGCGCGAGAATTATAAGAAACACGCGATTTTTCCGAACGACCGAGCCTATTTATGTGTATGTGTAGGAGCTATGTAGCAGAAAAAAATATACACCGTACCGCGAGCTTCCGTAAGTCGGTCGTGGGAAATCGACTATGGTGTGGGTGTCATTTATATATAGCTGTGTACCACACGGAGCTGCTCTCGTGATTCCGATTGCTATTAAAAAAGGAAAATCTGCCGTTTATTTATTATTATATATGGTGCTTTATTATATGAGCTCGCTGATCGTTAATTGCGTCGATAAATCCTTTATGGTGTATTGCCCTCGGGATATCTGTTTACCGACGTTATCGATATAAAAAAATTCCTTAATGATGCGTATAGCACCTATTATTGGGTTCTCTCTCTCTTTCGTGTACTACGCGCTGCTGCATTATTATCCTTCACTACGCTCGCGCACTCGAGAGCACGTTAATCAATTTAATGCGTTAACGTCTTTTTTCGCGATTACGATCGAGTCCAATATAGCGCGCGGCCAAACTAGCTCGCGCGGCAATTTGTAAAATTTCAATCGCTGGTAATTAATTGGCCGCGAGATAAATATATACCGAAATTACGTGATTTGGCTGTATCGATCGCGATTAGAAGAGTCTGAAAAAAAATTGTTTTTTCACAAAAATTCGTTATTAATAGTCCTGTCGTAGATAAGGAAAAGAAAACAAACGCTCGTGGCATAAGATTATCCACCGTTTCCGTAAAACGCGCAATCAATTACAACTCAGAAAAATGTAGTCATCTCCGTATCCGAGAAACAGTTTTTTCTTGACACTTATTTCCGCTGCACATTCTATCGTCGCCGCGAACTTCCAGATTACATATACATAAATGTTTATCCGATAAATAAAATCGTTTTCACTCTCGCGTTATTGGTGCGCGCGGGAATACGAAAATATTCGATGATTCTATCCTTCGGTTATTTTTCGTTAATCTACGATGTAACAAATAATACAATGATATATCGAACGCAATAAATCGCGCATCTTTTTTCAGTGAGTCATTTTTTTTCTTCCTCCAAGATCCACGGCTGATCCGATGGATTCGATAAATAAAAGCGCATCTCGGCTCTCACTTCGCGCACGTATAATACACCGAGAAAATGTATCTTTGCGTAAGATTATCTAACTGCACGCAACTCGGAGAAAAATGCAGCCCCATTGACGGCGTGCGTCGATAATGATTGCCCCTCTCCCCCCACCTCCTCCCTATTTCTCGCAAGCATACATTATTTGCGTGGGAACGAACAATGAAGTCGTCGATCGAAGATCCCGAATTAGCCCGCTGCCCTGGATAATTAGACGTTGTTACTTTTTGGCTGCTGCTTCGATCGCGAGCCCGAACGAAAGCAAAAAACAACACCTGTAATGTGACAATACACATGCTCGTGCCTGTTGCGCCGATCGCATTGTGTACGATTTTTCGCGTGGGTCGGCAGACTACACATAAATTTTAATGTATTCTACGTAGCACGAGCATATCGAGAGTGTATAGCGATACCCAATCTCGACTTTCGCCGTCGACGGATTGAGCTCGATCTTCGATAAAAAAAAAAGTACTTATTAAATGTACAAGTATATAATACGCACCTCTCGCTACGGGTGCGTTGCGTCACTCGTAAATCGAAATCGATTTTAATGAAATCAAAGCTTGAACATTATTTTCACATATATTTATATCTGAAAAAAATGACGCATCTCGCGAGCTGTTACATTATAATAATAAGAAGGTATAATATACGAGCGTGCTGCAAATTCATAGAGATGCAACTCGTGGATATTAACATACAATATTACGCATTAGCGTATAGAAGCAAAGCAGCAGCTGTATTTGGCAAGACTCGCGATCGGCACGAGGCTCTCTCTCTCTCTCTTTCTTGGCCGATCATCGCGATCCGCGACGAAGGTTCGTTTCGCGCGATACATAATATAATATATGAAATTTTTCATTCGATCGAGTCTATATTGCACAAAAGCTATATGGCTTTATGTAATTCCGACAGAAGACAGATACGATACTCGCGTATACACATGCGC